CCTTGGACTCTGCGGTCACGCACCCAAGTCGTTAGGACCAACACCAATCTATCTTACTTTTCAGGTTCTTCAAGAAACACCGTGTGGGCAGCCGGGAATTGACAACCGCCCCTCATACCCGTCACAGTACACGAGAGACCAAATTGGTCAAAATCAAACCAATTCAAATATTATTCAAGGTAAGTTCGTTTTTCAAGTTCAAATCATCAACAAATAATTTGATACACATGATTACATAATCAAATACAATAATCATCATCATGACAACTGACAATCCACAAGTATACTACAAAACAACTTACAAGCCATATATGAAATCCTTGTATAATTGAACGTATACACAGTATACATGATATAATGCCTAGACTTAATGTAGCACTATCAATCAATATCACTAAGTGACTACGTGAAAAGAATGATTTTCATTTCCATTGTCAAAATAGTCGTAGTCGTAGTAGTCGTAGTAGTAGTAGTGGAATTCAGTGAATCCCAAAACTGAATTAATAATTTGTTCTTTTTCTCATTCGATAACATTGTCAATTGCTGTTGTTCTTGTTGTGTAAATGTGTTAGGAGTAGCAGTAGCATTAGGAGTGGGAGTAGTAGTAGTAGGAGGAGGAGTACCGTCAGTAGTAGTACTACGATTAGTGTGATTCATTGATGAAGATGACATATGTTGTTGTTGTTGTTGATGTTGACGTTGGTGATGACGTTGATGATGTAACGAATCGAAATCAGTGTGATGATGTAATTGTTTCGGAATGTCATCACATGAACTCGAAGCATAAGGTGCACGTAGGATAATTTTCATTTGACCTGATTGTGATGGATTTTCTAAAGAGATCTTTTTAGAAATAAAAAAAGAAAGAGTATAAGAAGAATATAAAAAATTAACTTATTTGTACATACATTGAGAAAGCATTGATTATGTTATCATATTATTTGTGAACTATTTTGGTAGTATACTCATTATACGTGTTTGGTGGTTGCGTTGAACTCGTAGTAGGGCGCACTACTTTAGTGGCCTATGCATCCAGTTTTTGGATGAACAGTCGAATATGTTATGCAGTGTAAATCTTCCCTTTCCATTTCTCGTATATCATGTGTTCAGGTGAACCTTCATTTTGGGCGATGGTGATGGCAAATCGATTTAAGTCCTTCCAGTTTACATGAAGTTGAGAAAGCTATAGGAAATCTAAAGGGAGGTAGAGCAGCAGGTCTTGATCGGCTTACCCCTGAGATGTTTAAGGATGGTGGTCCAGTTTTAACAGTTAGACTGACTGAGATCATAGGTAGAATCTTGGAACCTGGACGCAATCCCAACCGACTGGTTTCAGTCGCCTTCATTGTCCCAATCTACAAGAAAGGACAAAATGTCCTCTTGTGACAATCACAGGGGAATCAGTTTAACTAATATAGTTTCTAAATTGTTAGCCCTCCTTTATACTTAGACGTCGAACTAGAGCTCGTGAAGAGCAGAGTAGAGAAAACCAGGCTGGTTTTCGACCTGGACGTGGTTGTATAGACCACATCTTCACACTACGACAGGTCCTGGAACACAGACACACATTTAGACGTCCGACAATAGTCGTGTTCCTGGACCTTAAGGCGGCATTCGACTCAGTGGATCGTGAGGTTCCTGTGGCAGTAGTCTGTCATTGAAAGGTGTACCAAAGAAGTACATTAACCTTATACAAGCACTCTACTCGAACAACACTGGTCGGGTGAGAGCATATGGCGAACTGTCATCTGATTTCTCTACATCAAGTGGTGTCCGTCAGGGCTGTCCACTCTCTCCATGCTTGTTTAAACTATGTCGTAGACATCCCTCTTAGAGTTAACTACTAAGCTCGTCAGATTTTTCGGGGGTTGACCTTCTACCAGGAAAGTCGCTTACTGATCTAGAATATGCCGATGACATAGTTCTATTCGGTGAAGACGCTGACAAAATGCAGAGTCTTCTGACTACCATAAGCAACAATGCGAGCATGTTCGGGATGCGGTTTTCCCCCTCGAAATGCAAAATGTTGCTTCAAGACTGGGTTGCTTCGGCACCTGAACTAGTGATAGGGAGTGAAGTAGTCGAGCGTGTAGATCACTTCACTTATCTGGGGAGTCTCATCAGTGCTGACGGTCTGGTGACTGACGAAATCTCAGCTCGGATACAGAAAGCTCGATTGGCTTTTGCCAACCTGCGTCACTTGTGGCGCAGGCGAGATATCCGTTCGCTAACCAAAGGGCGGGTGTACTGCGCAGCAGTTCGTTCCGTTCTCTTATATGGCTGTGAAACATGGCCGTTAAGAGTAGAAGATGTTCGTAGGTTACTAGTATTCGATCATAGATGTTTAAGAAGCATTGCTCGTATATCGTGGGACAGCCGAGTAAGCAATTCTGTTGTTAGGAAACGGGTGCTATGTAAGAATGGCAGACCAATAGATGAGTAGATTTTCCTTTCTACGCCTGCATACTTGTTCAAGTAGTAGTCCAATTACAGTTGCTTAGCATTGTGTGTATCAATCACATTCAATCCTGGAACACCACTGTACATCATTCGAAAAATTGATCAACATTAACACAATGAAGTGTGTATATGAAAAAAAACATGTAATTATCATTATCTATCACAACATACCTTAATCATAAAACGATAACATTTAGTACTTTGTGTCCAATCCAACTGATAAATCGGTGGAGAAAACAAATTGAACTCAATATCGAATCCAAGTAAACTGGAAAATTTCACGTGTGTTTGTGTGTGGGTGTGCGTGGGAGAGACAGGAGGAAGAGGAGCAGCACAACGATGAAATGTGAATGTCAGAGAGAAGAGGTAAAGAAAGAAAAGAGTAAAAACAGAACGAATCATTAAATCAGGTAGAATATGTCACATATTGTTAAGATATTCACCAAATATCCTAGGAGTACTACTATTTTTAGTAGTATAATCCTATTGGTCAAAATTATGATGGTTTTAACTGTCAAAGTCAAATACTTCAATGTTATCTCTTATTGGTCATCCGAACTGTCAATGTCATTTCAAATGTTCTTTCCTATTGGTCGTCGTCCTAAACTGTCAATAATGTTACAGACTTTGATGCTCTTTCCTATTCGACCAAAATGTATAAATACGCACTATCTGTAAAAGCCCTCAGGATTCGGATTCCGATTCCGTTCCTTCCTGCCTACCTCTCTCTCTACTGTACTCGACCCAATAAACAACTCCATCCAACGGTGTTGCGTTCTGATATCTAGGAGATTTGGAAATAACATTTTGGGTCGTATTGGGATATTTCTGAATTGGACGCCGCTAGGACTGAATAGCGATACGTAGCAGCGTTATAACACATATCAAAGTGTTTCAGACTTAGGAAAAAACATGACAAGATCAATATACAAAGTCTTTAACAATCGAAACTCGAATTGATAAGGTAGAAAGTTCAGTCTCATAGTGTCTTATGGTTGTTGCCTTATAAGCAACTTCATTGAAATGAGGTGACTGACATCATAAAATACAATAGTTTCGAGGTTAATCGAACACATGACTCAAAAATGGAAATTACCGAAGAGTCTGATGTTATTTCTTATATACACATTTGATTGTGATTAGTTAGGATTCGTGTGATGTCTACCAGTAAAAGGATGAGTGTACTGAGGAGCATCAGTCCACTCTCTCCTATTTTATGACTGTAAAAAAACATGGCCAGTAAGGATATTCGTGAGCTATTAGTAACGCTCATGCATCTTAGGACAACCGAGTAAGCTATTTACCCGAGCTTTTGACCTACATGTATAATACAGGAGGCAATGGAACAACGTTAGGAGAGGCAGTGACGCTCCGGATAATGCTAGTCTCAACGGGAAACAACTTACTACCGTCAAATCTTCGTAAAATTGATTCCAATACAAATGAATCTATCTTCACTCAATTGCTCAAGGCAGTGTCTATCGGGACTGAATAGCTAAGTGGATACTGTGGCGGCGTTTGAATTGAACGATGTTGGGTTCGAGTCCCGGAGTAAACACCAACTAAACACCAACAAGTGTATCCGGCAACAGATGAGTCTCAAATAGAATGACATGCGTATCCTGGATCCCACTGCTAGCCACTGCCTCTAAGGCAATATCAGGGCAATTCGAACAGGATGCACACATACCAAAGAGACTGGATCAACTGCAGTTCTAATTCAGTCAGTTAGCTACAACGTAGAACTTTGTATGCATGTACATCACTTCAAGTTACTATACCGCATTAGCACAGAGAGATAGGATTGTAAGTTCGAATCCCATAATGGTAGAAGAAGTAGTAGTAGTATTAGTGGTAATCAAAGATGTGATTTGAGAAGTATAATTCAGTGAAACAAATTTGAAAAGAGGAATATAAAGGTGATGAAGAATTCAGAAGATTAGAGTTGCAAACGATTTTGAGTCATGTTGTTCTCGATCTCTTAACCATCGATCGCAATCATCTCACAGACCCTAACCAGTTGTTAGTCTACATCTACCAACCAACATGACCTGATGGTTCTTGCTAAGAATCGATATCTATACAAAAATCAATGGATGGCCATATAACTGGGTTATTAATTCGTTTTTTCAAATCGAATATTCCATTTTAAAAATTAGGGTGTTACACATTTTTTTTTAAAAATCGATTTTTTTTGCATGTGATACCGAATAAAACCAAAAAAATCAGCCGGTTCATTTATGGAATAATAACACCTTGATGAATACTTGAAAGTTTAGGGTTCCGGTGTTTATTGAACTAAAAATACGCACGCACGCACACACACACACATGTGTGAGTGTGATCACTGTTGTTAAGGTGGTAAGAAACATTGTTTCTGATAATCGAATTTGAAAGAAAATAGTTTGAATGATTTGTCCTGGTTAGCGCTTTTTTTTATAAGCAAGTTGATTTTCTACGAAATAGGGTCGCTACCTCCAAGGCCAGCCCTTCTCCCTTTATTCAGGCTTTGAATTGGCAATAACCCCAGAAGGGGCTTCAGGCGGAGTTAAAATCATACAGAATTCTTATGATGGACTTACAAAACGGTCAGAGACGTTAGATCCTCAGAACTCACTGGATAAAGGTCCTAATTTTGGGGTGATCAGTTGATCATGAGATTACATTTCCCATACGGGAAATCCTTGACTGTCATTGGTTGATGTAGTATTTCAGTATGCTTTTTTGTGGCTCTCCTAAGGATTTTTCTATCATGTGTGCTTGGGAACCGTATATTTTTCTGGGTGCTTGTAGAATACACTTTCTATGTCTTGTCAAGACTTCTTCTTGCTTTACTTAGTGAGGCCTTGGGACGCTCGGATTAGAGTAGTAGCCTATCGTGTCACTGGATCATTTGTCTTTGCTCTTGTTTACCAACTACGGTGAACTCGAGTAGTTTCAAAAAATATCAATTGACGTGCATTTTTTCTTTACATAAGTAAGTTATGATTCAAACCATACAACTTAACGATTATTATCGCAATGAACTGATTTCTCAGGTATAGTTTCATGTAATTAGTGTTGTGTTGAGGATGTTATGATGTGGTGCGCGCTACTTATATAAGTAGTATATGACGTGAGTGTAAACGTAATGTCTGGCAGCAGAAGATGGGGGAAGATCAAGAAAGGAAGAGTTAGAACACAATGGAATTTGTATGAAACGCGCATGAATAAGTGAAATGTCAGACAATGGATTGATGATGGATTGAAGATTTGCAAATTAACCGTTTACGATATAGTTTTCCTATTTTACTGAGTAACTCTACAATTTTCGTTAAATACAATTCCGTTGCCCCACATGTGTTCTCCTTCACTACAATGATATCCTTAGTAAAAAACACTTGGTAAACTTCTTGAATTTTTTTAATGTATTTAAGAAAATTTGAATTTTTCCTTTCCGCGCCAAAAGTGCTCATCATTAACTTTAAATTGTTTTCCACTTGATTGGTTCGTTTTTTTGTTCTAATACGTCATTGTGTGATGCATTTCAAGGACAGTTTCATATTGCATGGTATTACGCATGAGTCGAGTGTTTTTTAATTTGTTCTTTTAAGCTGCTTATGGAATTGTAAGTTAGCTTTGTCATGTTATTGTAATTCTGGTTATTAGTAGGAATATGTGTTGCGTATGTCGAACCATCGCATACCATGACAAGTGATGTTATACGGTGTAGAGGTAGGCGGAAAAAAAGCTAGGGGCGGCCAGACCAAAACATGGCACAAATCCATGAAGTCACTGACAACTAGACTGAGTCATGTTGATAGATGTCGACTACCTGGTTGAAGTCAGTGAGACAAAAGTCACCAATGGTTAGAAACCTTGAATGACGTGGCTTAAAATCGTTTGCAAAGGCTCAGGTGCATTTATTCTTTGTGTTCTCTCAAATCCTAATCTTCTGGATTCTTCAACACCTCTAGTTTTGACTTTCTAAACTTATCTCACTGAATCATACTTCTTGAATAATATCTCATCATAACCTCTCCGATTACTTCTAATACCTTTACTACCTCTTCTACTATTGGATTTGAATTGACAATTACATCTCTGTGACATGGCAATATGAACTGATGTACGTACGTACAAAGTTCTACGTTGTTGTTGCTGACTGAATAAGCGCTGGTTACTTTTTTTTCAGTATTAAAGACCAATGATGATACAGTTGTCAGTCTGGGGTCAAACTGAAATCATTGTAGAATGACAGTTGAACTAAAGACCTTGATTAAAGTTACTAACTGACTGAAAGTTAAATTCCTTAAACTTCAACTTAGCCACCTTGCTTCAATTGCTTCAAATTGAAAATGGTGTAGTAGTTAACACAAATAAAAATTGATTACAAATTACACTAAAAAATATAATAATAAATAGAGGAATTTTATTATTAAATGAATTAAACTTACTAATTAAAATTAACATCTAATTGATGACCTTGTAAAAATGTTTTAATTGAATTCACATCATTGAATTGTTCCAAATCAATATTTTTCACTTCAATAGATGTACAATCTATATGCGAGTGAAGAGATAAACAGATACGGTATGTTTATTCAGGAAAATTTATTTTTATGTCAATTAACAGAAATTAACTCAACTAAGTACTGTACGTAACTCTCTCTGCCTAGAGTCAGTCATTCAAGGGTTACTGTCGGTCGCAAACCCAGCGGATAAAGCAGGAAGGTGGGGGCAAGTGGTTAGTGAACTCGTCCCATAAGAATATAACTCACTTAAAAGAATATTACCCAAGAAAAATAGTTCGATAGTCAACGGCCTATGCTCCATTAGGGGTAACAAGCGTAAATATTCAGTCAGTCAGAGGCAGATGCAACATAGAACTTCGTACGTACGTACATCAGTTTATGTTGCCAAACCATATTAGCACAGAGGTATAATTGTCAATTCAAATTCAATAGTACAACAGGTAGTAAGGGAAATAGAAGTAATCGGAGAGGTTAAGATTAGAAGATATTATTCAAGAAGTATGATTCAGTGAGAAAAGTTTAGAAAGACAAAACTAGAGGTGTTGAAGAATCCAGAAGATTAGGATTTGAGAGAACACAAAGAATGAATGGACTGGCGCCATTGTGAACGATTTTGAGCCATGTCATTCAGGGTATCTAACCATCGATTACTACCATCATCTCGCGGACCCCAACCAGGTAGTCGACAATTACCGACATGGATAAGTCCACTCGTCAATGCCATGTTTTGGTCTGGCCGCCCCTAACTTTCTTCCAACCTACTCCTACACTACAAAAGAAAGCTCGTCGAGGCAGTCGGTGGTTAGGCATACGTAACACATGTCCTAACCACCTCAACTGAAGAAGTTTCATTACTTCATCTATTGATCTGCCATTCTTACCTAGCACCCGTTTCCTAATAACAGCGTTGCTCACTCGGGTGTCCCAGGATATATGAGCAATGCTTCGGATACACCTATGATCGAAAACCAGTAACCTACGAATATCTTCTACTCTCACTGGCCATGTTTCACAGCAATAAAGTAAGACGTAGCGAACTACTACGCAATACACTCTTCCTTTAGTCAGCAAACGGATATCTCGCCTACGACATAAGTGACTCAGGTTGGCAAAAGCCAATCGAGCCTTCTGTGAACTCATCCCATAGGAATATAACTCATTTGAAAGAATATTAACCAAAAAAAATAGTTCACTAGTCGGCGACCTATGCTCCTCATTAGGGGTAACAAGCGTAAGTAAGTCCTGTACGTAATTAAATACAGAGTAAACGAAAATAATAACAGCAGATATTTTCATAATACTATAGGTACGATGATTTGTAAATGTACTGATTTTTCATTTCCTTACTTACTTACGCCTGTTACCCCCAATGTGGAGCATAGGCCGTCGACCAGTTTTCTCCAACCTACTCTGTCCTGGGTTTCCCTTTCCAGTTCTATCCAATTTTTGTTCATTCTTCTCATATCTTTCTCTATTTCTCGGCGTAATGTGTTCCGTGGCCTTCCCCTTTTCATTTTGCTTTGATGGTTCCATGTGAGAGCTTGTCTTGTGACGCAGTTGGGTGCTTTCCACAGTATATGTCCTATCCACTTCGACCGCTTCTTCCTGGTTTTTCATTGACGGTCGATCAAAAATATATATGAAATATCTTTACCATTCTTTTCATTGACATGTTTTTCAGTATTTCTCTCTCTAACTCGAATTCAATAAAAATGTTTCTAGTTAGCGTCTTTTTTTCAGCGAATTAGTTTTCCACGGCATAAACTCACTAATCCCATACCCAGTCCCCTTTATTTATCTGGCAGGCTTAAGACCATCAATAGCTCTAGAAGGGCTACACGCAAAGTTAGGAAACCACTCAACTACGTCACAAGACAAACCCTCATTTGGCATTCTCAACGCGAAAGAAAAACGGCTAGACCAAAAAACACATTACGCAAAGAAATGAAGACAGACATGAGAAGAACGAATAACAATTGGACAGAACTACAAGAAAGGAAGGCCTAGAACAGAGTAGGAGATTAGAGAATGCTGGTCGGCGGCCTATGCTCCATTGGAAGAAACAGGAGTAAGTAAGTAAGTAATCAGATAAATAAATAAATCACGTGATAACGTGTACAATTTAAACACTTATTCTAAATTATATCCGTTCATCAATTGTGAACACTTGATTAAAACAAATTACATTGAATATTGAACAGTATTTTTTAATCAGTATAAGTAAACAAACATACTGAATAAATAGTAATTGTTTATCTAAAGTATTCTGTAATAAACAAATAATAAACACTTGTATATACTACTTATTTCATTTAGATTACTCGTTATCTTTTGGTCTTTTAACAAGTAATTGAAGTGATTTACTGATTTGATCTTAGTGTGCTATTGCGAAATTTGAACTGATAATTGAAGCTTTCTGTGTAGGTGTGTGTGTTGGTGTGCGTATATACGCTGATGTGGTATGGTAACTTTGAACTGATGTTTATGCACACGTACAAAGTTCTACGTCATAGCTAATTGACGTGGACAATCATGATCAGAGTATTAATGACATTTTAAAAGAGAAGTATGTTGTTTTCTTTTGACTACTTCAAAATTTGTGACTTTTATGCGTGTGTCTGTGTGTGTGTGTAGTGTGTATTTGTTAGACTATTCTGATTATTATTACTAGGAATGTTTCAGTGTATAGTAAAACATCTTAAAGATGTTTAAGAAGCATTGCTCGTATTTCGTGAGACAACCGAGTAAGCAATGCTGTCGTTTAGGAAACGAGTACTAGGTAAGGATGGCAGATCGATAATAGATGAAGTGGTGAAACTTCATTAGTTGAGGTGGTTGGGATACATGTGCTGCGTATGTTCAGTCATTGACTGCCTAGACGAGCTATGTTTTGTGGTGTAGGAGTAGATTGGAAGGAAGCTAGGGGCGGCCAGAACAAAACATGGCACAAATCCATGAAGTCACTGACAACTAGACTGAGTCATGTTGGTAGATGTAGACTACCTGGTTGGGGTCCAATGGTTAGAGACCTTGAGCGACATGGCTCTAAATCGTTTGCAATGGCGCAAGTGCATCCATTCGTTGTGCTCTCTCAAATCCTTTGTCTTCCTAACCTTATCTCACTGAATTATACTTCTTGAATAATATCTTCAAACCCTAGTCTTCTTCATTACCATTAATACCTCTACTATCTTTATCACTATGGGATTTGATTTGACATCTGTGTCCTTGTGCTAATGTGGTATGGCAACATAAACTTATGTACATACGTACGTAGTTCTACGTTGCAACTGACTGACTGACTGATAGTAAAACATCGAGAATTCGCTAGTTCGCAGGCCTAGACATGACTCAAACAATGATTACATCACATCCCATTGTATTTATCAATTTACGCGATTGTTTGGACATACATACATAGGAAGAAGTCATCAGGACTTGAAATCAAGGACTATAGAACATGTGGCTTCAAAATTAGTTTATATCAGATGAGTGGATAAACGTGGGAAAGAGAAAACCATGTTCATCGATCGCCAAACACATAATCGAGACGAGGCGCATAAGATTAAAATTAAGATATCCTTTAAACCGTTGTACAGAAACATTGACGGTTGAATTATACGGTTTATGGAGGCCTTGACTATTCGTAAACTAAAAAATCACCCCCTCCTTATGTTATAACCTCGAATGTATCCTAGTAATATCTAAGCCATTTGTATGACCTATTACAATAAATTTCTCTCTCCTTCATTTTCACAATTTTCACCTTAGTATTTATTTCAACTTTTATTTCATTGACCTCTATATTCATCTTCATTTAAAATGCCTTGACAAGTCTACATGTGTGTGTGTGTGTGTGTGTGACCAAATGGTTCGAAACATGTATAGCACGCAAATACATTAAAACATTTTCTATATCAGATCAATTATGTCTTCTCATAGTGTTCTATCAAAAATCTCATTTAAGTTTAGTGTTTATGTTATAATACCATTGTAAGTTAAGTATAATTGGCCAGTTTACACAATCATTTCAAATTCCAGTTTACGAATTAGTTATTTATGTTCATTGTAAGCAATTATTTAATATTTTTATTTTTATAATATAAATTTACCCTGTATTGTCTGTCAAGAGCAATTTTACATTGACGGTTTTCAGGAGAACCACAAAGAGACTAGACACGTTTTACACCATTACACTACATGAACAGTTCGGCTCAATCCTGTGGTGCAACCACCACCAAACACGTACCTGATACCCCCCCTGATGGACCATTCACACCGTTTCATATACACACACAATGGTATATATATATATTTCCGATCAATGATCGCATCGTCAATCAACATTGCACCGCATGAACAGGTCATTTCGACCCATCCCGCTTACACATGACTGTCACAAACTCATTATTATTAGCAATGGTGATATGCCGCAATACAGCACCCCAATGACAATGGTCCTCGGGAATGTTGCAAAACAACCACCTATATCAATGAAATCGGTCACCCTGCTAACCAATATTGTATATGGACTGTTAACAATGCTTACCAAAGCAAAGCCATCCACAATATACACAACGAACCTCTAGTCTCATAGGAGACCTTCAGCTCTATATAGCAGTATAGCATATGGTGTACACATATATGGCGTAGGATAGTAGAAGAGGCAGCCCAGTTTGATGTGAATAGGCTCAAACACTTCTATTACCCTTTGTCTCATGTCGGGCAACGATTTTTTCGCGTTTCCAAAATTTTCATTTTTCGACCATATGAGACCTGAGTTAGGGGTAGTATCCCTATTCATTTTAAGCATGTATTGTAATCTATGAAATGTTGTTACAAGTGAGTGGATGATTCTATTTGTCTCGATGAATATTCTTCTCAATAATAAATAGCACAACCAATAGAAATAAAATGCTAACAAAGTGAATTGTAACTAATGATTAATTTACTTATGATTGGTATAATATAAATCGATGATCATCATGGTTTTTGTCGACCTGTGTCACTTATGCCGAAGGCGAGATATCCGTTTGCTGATTAAAGGACGAGTGTGTGCTGTGCAGTAGTAGTTCGCTCCGTCTTATTTTAATGCTGTGAAACATGGTCAGTGAGATTAGAAGATATTCGTAGGTTATCGGTTTTCGATCATAGGTGTCTTCGAAACATTGTTCGTATATCGTGGGAAAACCGAGTAAGCAATACTGTCGTTAGGAAACGAGTACTAGGTAGAGATGGCAAATCAATAGATGAAGTAATGAAACTTCATCAGTTAAGGTGGTCGGGACATGTGTTGCGTATGCCTAATAACCAACCGCCTCGTCAAGCTATATTTTGCGGTGTAGAAATAGGTTGTAAGAAAGTTAGGGGCGGCCAGACCAAAACATGGCACAAATCCATGAAGTCATTGACAAGTGGACTGAGTCATGTTGGTAGGTGTCGACCACCTGGTTGGGGTCCGCGAGATGATAGTAGTAATCGATGGTTAGAGACTTTGAATGACATGGCTCAAAATCGTTTGCAATGGCTCAGGTGCATTCATTCTTTGTGTTCTCTCAAGCCCTAATCTTCTAAAATTTTCCATTACCTTGATCTTTATCTTTTTAAGTCTATTTCACTAGATTCTACTTCTTGAATAATATCTTTTAATCATAACCTCCCTGATTACTTCTAATGTGGTATGGCAACATGAACTGATGTACGTACGTACGTACGAACTTCTACGTCGATATTGGTTGATTGGTTGATCGTTAGATTACCACTCATCAGAAACTTGAAAGGACACTGGACAGCAGTTTCATGCTATTATGAAACTCATCAGTAGTAGTAGTGAGCACCTACGACCGCCACATGCGGCAATCGAACTCACAACTTTCGATCTGGCGTACGAACGCTTAACCTTTAGATCATTAAGTCAGTAATCTAATGATGTCGAACATCTAACTTCAATCAATTCAAGGTATTGTGCAACTTCATCCATCGTTTTTTGGTAGTGACTGAGTTCACATTCGACAGGGCTAAAATCACGACTTCAATGATCGATTCATAATTTCAGTGTACAGCAATAATCACCATCACTGCCGCGACAAGCTATGTTTTGTAGTGTAGGAGTAGATTGGAAGAAAGCTAGGGGCGGCCAAACCAAAACATGGCACAAATCCATGAAGTCAATGACAAGTGAACTACTGAGTCATGTTGGTAGATGTAGGCTACCTGGTTGGGGTCCGCAAGACGAAAGTCACCAATGGTTAGAGACCTTGAATGACATGGCTCAGAATCGTTTGCAATGGCATAAGTGCATCGACTCTTTGTGTTCTCTCAAACTCTAAGCTTCTGCATTCCTCATAATCTCTACCTTTCTCCTTCTGAATTTATCTCACTGAATTATACTTCTCGAATCATATCTTCACTCCCTAATCTTCTCCATTACTGCTAATACTTCTATTATTGCTATCAATCTTGGATTTGAACTGACAGTTACGTCTGTGTGTTGATTGGGCATGACAACCTGAACTGATGTACGTACGTACGAAGTTCTGCGTTGTATCTGTCTGTCTGTCTCTCTATCACTGTATCATGGATAATTTACTTTGAATTGGAAATGAACAAAACTTGTGAAAATCTTTTCAATCTATTATAATAAACGAAAGTGTTAAGATCAGATAGAATAAATGATTTGTTTGAAGAAGGCACAGTTAGTTCACTTACACTAACAAAATGTGCACGCCATGATTTCAGATTGTTTATTTACAGAACAAGCTAATTATTGCCTGCCTGCTTGCCTGCCTGTCTGCCTGCCTTCCTTTCATACATATCTTCTAGTCTTCAAAAAACACCATACATTCGGATTCGATATTGTTCTATGCTGTGTGGTAACTTCAGGATGATGATGATGCTTCGCCATCTATTAATTTACTATTCCTACATAGTACTCGTTTCCTAACGACGACAGTATTGCTTACTTAGTTGTCTCAGGATACATGAGTAATGCTTTGAAGATATTTATAATCAAATACCAATTTACTTATGAATATCTTCAACTCTCACTGACTATGTTTCATATCCATATAGTAAGACGGAGTGAAATGCTGCACAGTAGACTTGAATTCTACTACTAATCACAATTTGAATATGCGAACAGTTAATTTTCGGGTCAACATCTCACACACAAAAATATTTTAACTCTCACATAAAGTCTTAACGAGTTATAATGAATAGTAAGTAGCAGTTCTAGGGATTCTAGTATACTAGATTAGTAGAAACTCAAATGATATCGTTTGAAAACTAAATGCAATTACACAAAAACAGTCAGTCACTCAGTCAGATGCAACGTAGAACTTCGTACGTAAGTACATCAGTTCATGTTGCCATACCACATCAGAACACACAGAGATGGAATTGTCAGTTCAAATCACAAAGTAGTAGAGTTAGTAAAGGTATTAGAAGTAATCGGAGAGGTTACGATTAGAAGATATTATTCAAGAAGTATGATTTAATGAGAAAAGTTTAGAAAGTCAAAACTAGAGGTGTTGAAGAAACCAGAAGATTACGATTTGAGAGAACACAAAGAATGAATGCACCTGAGCCATTGCGAACGATTTTGAGCCATGTCAATCAGGGTCTCTAACCATCGATTATTACTATCATCTCGCGGACCCCAACCAGGTAGTCGACACCTACCGACATGACTCAGTCCACTTGTCAATGATTTCATGGATTCTTGCCATGTTTTGGTTTGGCCGACCCTAACTTTCTTCCAACCTATTCCTACACTACAAAACAGAGCTCGTCGAGGCAGACACAAAAACAGTAACAAGAGTAAGAGAATTTGTAACGAATAAGAGTAAAAATGACAAAAACAACACTTTTTCACATATATGAATCATACATAGAACTCACTTTCTAATTCACTTCTATATGACACAGGAAACATTCCAGGAGGATGTTTATTTTGTAATGCAATAGGAGATATATGTCTCATGCATAATTTCATTGTTCGATTCACTGAATCAAACATATAACCACCAATGGCTAATTCTTCGGTTTTATTAAACTGTATCGATCAATATCCAATGAGATTAAAACAAAAACAAAACGAAAAAGACCATAAACAATCAATAAATAAATATATAACAAAAAAGGGGAAAATAATTTGTAAATGAAAGAAATGTCTTAGGGTCTCTGGATTCTCTAATGCGCCTGTGAATGCACGTCATTGTTGAAGAGTTGTATATTGGAACTTTGTACGTACGTACACAATTCAATTCATGTTGCCATACCACATGAGCACAGGGATTACTTACTTAGTTACACCTGTTACCCCCCAATGGAGCATTGGCCACTCACCAGTTTTCTCCAACCAACTCTGTCCTGGGCTTCCCTCTCCAGTTCTGTCCAATGTTTGTTCATTCTTCTCATATCTTTCTCTATTTCTCGGTGTACTGTGTTCATTGGCCTTCCTCTTTTTCTTTTGCCTTGAGGGTTCCATGTGAGGGCTTGTCTCGTGATGCAGTTAGGTGCTTTTCGTAGTGTGTGTCCTATCCACCAACTCCACGCTCTTCCTGATTTCCTCTTCCACTGGAATCTGACTTGTTCTCTCCCACAGTTCGTTGTTGCTGATGGTGTCTGACCAACGAATACGAAGTATTTTGCGTAAACAACTGTTAATAAATACTTGTATCTTCTGGATGATGTCTTTCGTAGTTCTCCAAGTTTCCGCTCCATACAGTAGAACTGTCTTGACATTTGTATTGAAAATGCTGATTTTGGTTTTTGGTTGAAAGTTGCTTGGAGTTCCAGATATTTTTCAATTGTACAAATGCAGCCCTTGCTTTGTCAATCGGCGCCCTCACATCTGCATCGGATCCACCTTTCTCGTCGATGATACTGCCCAGATATGTAAAGGTGTGTTAATGTCCTCCAAGGCATCTCCATCAAGAGTGATTTGGTTGGTGCATGTTTTGTTACATCGGATGAGCACAGAGAGATGGAATTGTCAATTCAAATTCCATTGTGGCAGAGGTAGTAGAATTATATTAACAGTAATAGAAAAGATTACGGTTCACGGTATGTGATTTGAGAAGTATGATGATCAAGTGAGGCAAATTTGAGAAGAGAAAATAGCTACAGCGATAATTTCGAAGATTAGAATTTGGGAGAAGACAAAAAACAGATAGACCTGCGTCATTGTAAACGATTTTGAGCTATGCCACTCATGGTCTCTCTAACCATCGGTTACTATCATCTCGCAGACAGACAGATATAACGCAGAACTTCGTACGTACGTACATCAATTCAGCTTGCCATACCCCATCAGCACAGAGACGCAGCTATCAGTTCAAATCTAAGTGTGATAGCAATCATCTCGCAGATCACAAGCAAGTAAGTCAACACCTACTAACATAGCTCAGTGTTAGTAATATGATTTCATTTCACACACATAATAAAAAGGAAACGATTATTGAGGATTAATTAGACTTTGACACTTTCATTCATATCTTATGAATAATAGATTCAACAGATGACTAACAAAAGATTTCATTACAGAATTCAGTAATCAACTTTGAGATACATTAGATGTTGAAGGGCTAACGATAAAAATGAATTCATTGTGAGAGGATTCAAACTTGTAGCTTAGTGGTTCGAATCCGCAAGATAATCGTAATCGATGGTTAGCGACTTTGAATGACATGGCTCAAAATCGTTTGTAATGGCGTACAGATGCACCCTTTCTTTGTCTCTTCTATCAAATGATTATAATGTTCGAAATTCCTTCCACATGATCTTTTCTTCTCATTGAGATGAACGTCTTGAACTATATATATCATCTTCAAACCCTGATCTTCTTCATTACCGCGAATATTACTACTACTACTACTACTAATACCTCTACTAGTACGGGATTTTGGTTTGACAATTCCATCTCAGTGTGCTCATGTGATTCTACAACTTGAACGTACTAAGTCCTGGGTTTTTGCTGACTGACTGACTGTCGGGTAGCTTAAAACTAAATTCATTGATAACTAATAATCAACGTACAGCCTGGGAGAAAATGTGCATTCACAAAAGTTAACAAAATACTACATAGGCATGAGATGAATTTTAACATACTTAAATAACAAACGAATAAAAATCATAGTTGGATTAATGATAAGGAGAATAATTAGGCTTTGAGAGTATAGTTAAGCAAGAAATGATATAGTATATATGAAGAAATGCTAAAACTCAAAATCTAGAGTAAGAGAAATAGTAACCTGTTGTTTATGTTCTAATGACCAATTCTAAATTACACATTTTTGAAACGATGAATCGATCAATGTTAGACCACCATTAGAAACCTGGAAGCACTGGACGACCGTTTCGTCCTGGTATGGGACTCGTCAGCAGTGCGCATCCACGACTTCTGCACCCCGCAGGATTCGAACCGAGGACCTTCGGTATTGTGCGCGAACGCCCTAACCGTTAGACTACTGAACCGGTACTCAACGGTGTTAATGTCTAACTTGATCAAATTCTAAATTGTATCATCCAACATATCCAACCCTTGGTTACAATAAACTCACTGACCACAACACCAAGTAGTCGGTGCCTACATGCACGATTTAATTTACCAGTCAATGATTTCAGTAAACTTCTTCATACACAAGCAAAACGTTTTACAACTAGGTAGGGATTGGTTCATAGTAGACAGATATTTTCAGTTATCTCATCCAACAAAAATCAATAGTCTTATGGATTGATCTAGCTGTTTTTTTTCTTCTCAATACCTTATGCTTAATCTTACAATATTGCTCGCTTGAGAGGTATCAATCAACATAGAACTTTGTATATGAATGAGTACATAAAACCAGGTTGCCATAATGCATCAGCACAAAAACGCAACTGTCAGTTCAAATCCCATAGTGGTACAGATAGTAGAAAGATCCCGACCGTAGCTGCTACCTTGACATTGTGGTGGTCGGGCCTGCCTATCGTGATGACCCAACTGAGCTATACTGGCTGGAACATATATTCCTGAAGGTTCTACCATGCCACGCAGGTCGATTGGAGAACGATGAGACTAAAAGCAGCTACTCAAGGTCTGAGGGCGAAGTCGTACTGCTGACGGGTGTGACAGCAGTAAGGTGTTTCCATCGGACAACAAGCAGCATCTGCAGCGATGCTGCCTTCTCACAAGTAAGGAAGGGTTAAAAAGGGTCGACCCTAAAAATGTCACACCTTACCTTGTTGTATGGATTTCAGTCTCCGGAGGTAAGGGTGCCCACTAAGGGCTTTTAAGAGCGGAGCTAATACTAGAAAAAACCTCTCATAAAAATGCCGTGCGTGACCGGCCTCAAGCAGTTGTCCCTTGAGCTCTGTGGTCACGCTACCGGGTCTCTAAGACCAACACTAATCTACCTTCCTCTTTAGGTCCCTCAACCTTCCATGGTGTGGGCAGCCGGGAAGTGACAATCGCCCTCATACCCGTAACAGCACGAGAGACCAAATTGGTCAAAATCTAATCGTTAGTAGAAATATAGAGATCATGAGGAATTCAGAAAGTTAGAATTTGAGAGAAGACAAAGGAGTGGATGCACCTGCACCATTGCAATTTGATCTTGAACCATGTTACTCAATATATCTAACCATCGGTTACTATCATCTCGCGGACTCCCAACCACGTAGCCTACATCTACCAACATGACTCAGTAGTCCACTTGTCATGGGGGGCTTCATAGTACAAATCCATGAAGTATAAAGAGATACATGAACAATATCTTGAAGATGAGTAGTATAATGACACACACACACGGACCTCCATTCCTATGCAATATATGAAAACAGAAATAAAAAATTCAATTTGTGTTACATTTTTTTTTACCTGAGTAATTGTATAACCAATATGTTGATAAAAATCTTCAATTGTATACACAGCATAATCACCAGTCGCCGGTGGATAATCTAATGTTTCATATTGTGAATCCCATTGACGTAAATATAAATGACAAAATGCTTTATGTGATACATCACCAAATGATACATGAGCTGCACGATAAAATCCAAATTCAATTAACTGAAATATATATTTAATATAGAGAAGTTAACCGATAGAAAGAATATATACATATATATATATATATATATATGAACCATTGGATAAAAAGAGCAATTTGCCATCAGACTAGAAAGATCTTAAATGAGTTAATGAATGAGGAGTGTTGAAGAATCTAATAAATACTACTAAGATGAAACAGTTAGTTAACCCCGGTACCTACTGTCAGTCAGTCAGTCAGATGCAACGTAGAACTTCGTACGTATGTAGGTACATCAGTTCATATTGCCATGTCACATGAGCACAGAGATGGAATTGTCAATTCAAATCTAATAGTAGGAGAGGTAGTTAAGGTATTAAAAGTAATCGGAGAGGTTAGGATGAGAAGATATTATTCAACAAGTATGATTCAGTGAGATAGGTTTAGAAAGTCAAAACTAGAGTGGTCGAAGAATCCAGAAGATTAGGACTTCAGAGAACACAGAGAATAAATGCACCGGTGCCATTGCAAACAGTTTGGAGCCATGTCATTCAGGGTCTCTAACCATCGATTACTACTGTCATCTCGCGGGCCTCAACCAGGTAGTCGACAACTACCAACATGACTAAGTCCACTCGTCAATGACTTCATCGATTGTTGACTTGTTTTCGTCTGGCCGCCCCTAGCTTTCTTCCAACCTACTCCTACACATAACATAGCTCGTCGAGGCAGTCGGTGGTTAGGTATACTCAAAATATGTCCTAACCACCTCAACTGAAGTTTCACCACTTCATCTATTGATCTGCCATCTCTACCTAGCACCCATTTCCTAATAACAGCGTTGCTCACTCGGGTGTCCCAGGATATACGAGAAATGCTTCGAAGACATCTTGATACTAATAGAAATAAACGACTTAATTGATGCTGAAAGACTGATTGAAGAATAAACTAGACAATCTTAAGCATATTTAAATATCGTAACCAGAAAAAATCGCAATATTAGTCATTCTCTATACGTTCTACTCCTGACCATATTTATTTATTTGTTAAACACAAACATTAGTATAAAAGGAGCATCAAAATATTTATGCGATACGTTAATTATTATATTTTTGAGTGGGTTGAGACAACAATGTTCGGGTTCCCAAGCTAAAAGTGACTTTCTTAGGAAGCCACTTCCTGAGGGTTTTATCTAAAGGTCTAGTTGACAACGTAGTGAAGCAACGTCAGCGGATGCACTACTGTGCTAGTGAGTCACCAAAATAGGTTCATACATCATTTGCTGTCCCCTCATAATCCTGGAACTGATGTGAACGATTATTTTGAAATCAAGGTTTTCCAAATCCCTAAAGTCAATCCTTCGCACCAACCAACCTGATTTAAGAGTCAGACATTTATCATCTCAATTTCGTAAACAAATACCTGGGTTGCGAAAAGTCAGTGAGCAGGACTGCCATGGAAGTGGCTATATGTGTACCGTTTTAGGAGCATTCGAACAGGGGGAAGGCTTTCACCACTTTAGGGCATTCGAACGTCAGATCCATATACTAAGTAAGGATATGCATACTCAGGTTAGTGGTACTAACTAGTTATTTTAATCTAACCACCCAAAACAACGAGCGATTTTCGATTTTTTTATTGAACGATAAGTAATTTAACCACCAGGCTAAAGGTAAGACAAGGAAAACAAAAAAGGAGTTATGAGTGCATAATCTAGCCCAAACCAATGTTGATTCGAGTTACCACACCAAAAACACCACACCATACGGACCAAGGAAATGCAAAGATTAACATAAGTTTAAGTCGCCACATCTCATAGATCTTACTAGTCTATGAGCATAAAAGAAACTAAGATGTTATCACAATATAATCATGTGGGGTCGAAAAAAGACATAATAGACCTTATCGTTACTGACAATTTAATGTGAACAAAATATCGTTACATGTGAATGGTTCGTAAATTTACAGTTAAGGAATTTGTTGTGTACAAAATACGATACAAAATAATAACTATTAACCTTCAAATAAGTACATTGAGATTTACCTGGATCGTAACTAACAACACCTTGAGTATTTGAATGAATAGTTTGCATGGTATACGTCGTTTAGCATGAAATTTACCAACGGGTGTCATAAAATGATAATACAATCGACGTCGCATCCAATCTTCAACTTCATTTGGATTAATGGAAGTAGACGTTGTTGAATTACCGCCATCATCAGTAGTTGGTGATGTTGAAGCACCTGCTACTGTTGAATGAGCATGATGACTATTAATTTCATCATGATCACAAATAAGTGGACGTTCTTCGAGTGTTGAATTACTGTGTAAGTAATCACAATTAGTGTACTCGTGTGACCCATTGTTCGGTGGTTTTTCAAAATATTTCACCAAACGAAACACTACTTTTTCCACGACACCCTGGGATTGATGTTTATTAGTAGAACTACAATCATCATTGTTATTACTGTTAAAATTAGGATGATTCATCTGTGGAATGAATGATGGTGGCAAATGTAAATAAGCAGGTGGTTCATGGAGATGTGTTTCATCAATATTATTATCATTTCTCTCGAAGTTAGACTGTTCTGTTGAATGCTGACTTTGATGCTTTCTAGCATAAAGGGAATTAGAAAACCTATATGGTCCATTATAACCAGTATCTCCTACAATTTTCTCTTTCTTATAACGTTTGGACATAGCAAATGAATATTGGCATTAAGTTACACAGGATGTTTTTGCTCATATTACCTGCAAGGATAATTAACATTGAGAAAAATATTACTATTACAAAACTAATACTGTTGGAGGATAGGATTATTTTAAAATACTGGAACGAACGGACCATATTGCAGAGGGTTATGGTTAAAAACAGATAAGAATACTGCTAAAAGAATATGATTGATAAGTGTGACAATTTTATTACATGGTTAATTCTCAACAAAATACGCGTAACACTATAGACAAATTTATGATCATCAGAAAAAATACTGCCAGGGCCTATGAATGCTGGAATGAGAGAGTAAAAATCTAAACTACAATCAGTTTTCGTAACGAATGAAATGGTGGAATTAAATATAAGAAAAGCTGTATGTAAAATGAGTGGAATACTGATTAGTGAATATGTAGACATTATTACTAGTCAGGAAAAATACTCGGTTAAAGACCATAAGGTTTATCAATTGATTCAAGTTACCTAAAAAATTGGTTTCATACCTTAAAAGACTACAGAGACTTTTAAGTCACTAAATCCCCTTTTAATTAAGAGCGACTTTAAGACTGAATTTGATAGACGCCGCCACATTTTGACCTTCAGAAGGCGGTCTCCAATATCCTCCTCACGAGCATGTATAAAATGTTTGATTTCTTTTGTCTCGATTCTTCTTATTTCGGTATGGTTCTAGGTGTTTTGTAGTTTTTTCTTATTTTTCAATTTAAAAATTTTTTTCAACGATGGCTAAAAAATAATTTCCTCAACTAGATGAGTCCAAGTTTTTCTTTCCTAATTTGATTTATAGGTTGTAGTGTGAGGATCTTCCTCCCATCAGACTCAGCTTCAGTAGTAAAGATAATAGATTGATTGATCTGTGTTGATCTTCGCAGACTGATTGTGGTAGATAACCAGCTTCTCCTTCAAAAGTGTTCACCGTCGGGGCTGATCGAGCATTTTCGGGTTCCAGTCACTGACTGCTCGCTGTGAAAAACCGGAATCCTAGTCCTAGCTTGTTTTTTTTCGGTTTTTGATCATTATCGTCGAATCCTAGCATATTTTTAGTTACGTAGAGAGCAAACAAATGGTTACTGAAGATACAAAATACCAAATTAATATCACTCAGTATTCTAAGATAGGATAAGTATATAAGATTTTTGCGTTTTACGCGCTTATCGTTGTGGGGTTTGGAAAGATCCGTCACTAGGTTCGTCCTCAAACACTGGGCACACCCAAGTACTATAAATTCCTTAACCAGATATGGTCCAGGTTCTTAGTGACTTTACTCTGAGTGGAGTATCACACAGACTAGTTATGAAACCCGAAAATTTTTCTCTCCAAAGCATTTGTGTGCTAAGTGAATTGACCATAACAAACGAATATCTTTGACTGTTGCTGCATTCCAATTCGCAGTTGTTTTCAGGTCATCGTTAACTCATTTTGTTCCTGTAGGCATGGTAGCAATGAACCGTGGACGGTATACTACGAACAAACGCCGTGTCCGCTATACATTTGCACACTTCTAGAATGTTGTGCGCTAACAATGAATTAACCTAACTAATTCATCCAGTTCAGTTCGGAGATCAGGGCGGCAAAACATGATGCCTTGTGATACGCCGCTTTGGACTGGTTGACTTTTGGAGAGTATCCCAGTCACTACAACCCTTTATCTTCAGCCATAGAGGAAGTTTTGATCCACTTGTGTACTACAGCTGTTATTTCAGGGCTGGAAAGTTTTTTCAAAAACTTTAAGTGAGAAACCTTTGTGGCGACGGATATTTGATATATTCCTAAACTTTGTATAATAATAATAATGATATTAATAATAATTTATTCTCAAATAACAAACATGTTACAAGAGACATGCCAGACATGACATACCGCCGTCCAGACTATTGTTACCATGAGTCACGAGTCATTACAATTTACTTTATTATTCAAAATATATAATGATCAATACAAATATCGAATTTTCTTACAAGTGTAAAGTAGTCGCTACTGTTATCAAATTATTCGAACAACTAATCATTAAACCTAGTACATTGAATATGTGCGTAGTTTGCAAGCAATGCTCCAGCGCTTATGCTAATACAAGCTCTAAAATAATAGAAATACAATCGTATAGAGAGGTTATTGAAGTACCAATGAGTTCCGTTAGATAAGTTAACAAAATTATTTAACCAAGTTAGATGTGAACACACTAAAATTTATGTGATGTGCTACGTATTATCACGTATATAGTTTGTTAAGCATTAGTTCTGATTTCGAAACCGTATTGTTTAGAAGTTAACAGATTACGTGGTTCTGTATGACTTATTAACTTAGTCCGAATAATTTTTTTAAAGTAACCACTATGCTAGTTGGACTGACAGGTCGATTATGAGATAAGTTTTGCCCCTCACCATATTTAAAGGTACAACTTATTAGAGCATCCTTCACATCCCTGTGACATCAAGCCTGGAAAAGAGACATATTGAATAGCATCTAAAGTGCTTCTACAATAGTGGTCGCGAGGAACGATAGCATTTGAGTGTGCAACCTATCAAGATTCATCGACTTTCCAGGTTTTAGGTTAATAAGCGATTGGAGAACAGCTTATTCAACCGCTGGTATCTCGGAAGTGTAGTTAAGAGAGGTTTTGTTAATAATGCAAACAGAGATTTCGCTGATTTTGTTTCAGCCCTAGGTAAATCTGGCTCGCTTAGTGCACAATGAATTATAGTGGAGAGCAGTCTTACGGCAAAATATCCACCTAAGGTTGTGAGCTCCATCTGATTGAAGTGCAGGGTATTGAAATCTTCAACGATGAGACAACAATCAGGCTTGCTCCCAGAACACATATGGCATACGATAAAGTCGTAAACAAGGCAACACAGAATACTAATATGCTTGTCTCGTTGTAGATTAATTAGACGTTGGTATTTCTTAGCCACGTCACTAGGGGTGAGTTTAGGATCTTGCTCCAACTGATACAGTAGCCGTGTTCTTATGTCAATGAACGTTTGGGGCTGGAGGCTGAAAGTAAGGATTAGGGCTTTAAAATGGTCTTCCAACAAAGACTTCAACCGAAAGCCTTTGCATTCACGGTTGACGATACCCACATGCGTAAGAAAGTCGTCGTCTTCGTTCATAACTAGCTTCAAACATCAATAATGCGTATTAAATAGTGACGAGTTGTCGCCAGTGTTGGCTTAATGTCCGAACTGTTTCTGAAAATGAGCGATCTCGTGGGTTCAGAGGCAGGATCAAATCACACTACCTGTCCAGCTAACTTGCACTCAACTTTAAAAGTAGAAGCCGAACCTTCCAAGCATCATCTTGGATGGCGAAATCAAATTTAAATAAATTTTCATGATGCCGGAACCACATGTCAAATGTTCTGTTGGCATCAGTATCATAATGAAACTGAGCAATGCAATTTTGATGCTGTTTACTGATGGAGCTGTGGTTGAATTAGATGAGCCAGGGTGTTTGGAATGAGAAATCTTGATATCTGTCAGCATATGCAACAGTTTCAGCTGATGCTCAAGTAATAATCCAAGTTTTGAAGGAACCATATTTCCAAAACCACCAATATTTCCAAATCACCAATTGTGATGACCGTCACTAGGTATGCTTGAAGTATTACGAGTTCACCGTAGTCGGTAAACGAGCAAAGCGAAGACAAATGACCTAGTAGCACGATAGGCTGTTCTGACTCGATTAACCCCGGCCCTACTAACGATATCAAAAGTCTTGAAATGGCGTAGAAAATGTATTCTACACGCACCCAGAAAATATGAGGTCGATAAGCATAAAAAACCGAGTTTATTTATACAAGATAGAACCATCCTTGGGAGAGCCTAAAAATAACGTACTAGAATAATACATAAACCAATAACAGTCAAGGATTTTCCAAGTGTAAAATGTAATCTCAAAGCCAACTAATCAGCCTATGCGCTAAAACATAAAATCCAAAGTTAGGACCTTTATCAAGTGAGTTCTGGTGGTCTAACGTCCCCAATAAATACTGTATACCAATCCTATGATCACCAGCCGAAGTTTAAACTTCATCATGCACCAAGCAACTTCATATATGCCACTATCATGGTATTCCAATATACTGCATTGAAAACTAAAGTTATCTCGAGCATAGAGAGTTACTACTGCTCTCTTGCAATTTATATTCTTATCACCTATTAACAACTTGATCCTGGATGGTAATGATGGACAGCACTGATACTCTATCTACAATATGCATGTTCGTATATTTGTATATAGTTTACTTTTACTGTCTGAATATACGTTTCGGCTGATTAAGCTTCAAACTCTTAACCACTCCACCTTTTAACCCATGCAATTCCGACTCAATAATATGAAAGCCTGGCTCTACTATACCGCAGCCGACTTCTACATGCATGGCCTGACAGACTCATGTGCGCGATTTCTTGCAGGAATGAATACACTATCACTTACGAATTATAGACTATGAACACATTGTGTTCTCATTACCACCCATACATGTATCATGAAATGGTAGACAAATCCCCCTGCTCCTACTAACAGTAAAAGGTTACGCCTTTGAAGTGTTACCCGTGACTTTTCTCTGAATTTAAATTCCGATTATTATTTTCATATCTTCAAAGCAGTTTTAGTTTTTATTTCCAGTAGACAGACAAATTGAAAAGCCTGTACATGCTGTTCAACTACTGTCAATTACAAGGAACTCAAACACCATGTATAATTGTGAGTATTTCCTTATTTAAGTACTAACAGTTTAACTAATTTTTATTTCCCCAATTCATTAACATGCAAACACCTTGCCTGCTTACCAACTTATCGCTTTACTCATTAATTTTTAACATTATTTCAACTCTTATTTTCACTTTCTCCTCGTTCCAGCTCCCTGTCCTTCCTATTTCCAAACTACCTATTAACTGACTCATCTTACAAATTACACCATCCGTTTACTTAAAATCAGTGTGATATGCTATGTGGATATATTATCTGGCAAAGTTGTCTGGATTGCTTGTAATGTTGGAGCTAGTAGAGAATGTTAATTCCGATAAGGTGTACAAAAAAAAAATTGAGAGTAGACTAGAGGCCATTATTTACAATTAACCATTAAACGTAAGAGAGCCTAACATCACAAAAGGAGGGAGGGTGGTGTATCTGACCAGCATTCATGACGGTGGGGCGATAACCTCAATCTACCCATGTCTGTGTGGCAGAACATTTTGTTTGCTTACGGCTCCTTACGATATAGCAGGATGTAACAAATCAGTGATATTGATGTTACTTTTCCTAGTTAACCTCGTCTACAACCCATGTCTGTAACCTTGCACTGGTTTTTACTTCCTACCGAGAAATCCTATTACAAGCTGGTCTGGAAAGCTATACTAAAAATATAGCTCATTCATAACTTCTTGAGCCTCAGATTTAAAAATAAAAAGAATAAATAAAACCAAAAAATTATATCACTGATCCTCCTTATTATATTTTGTAAATCAACTTTATTACTAACAACTTGGTTCTTCTGAATTTCCTCTATTCTTTCAACAAACTTCTCATTAGTTATCTCACTACTGAAGTGTCTTCATTAACCTACATAAGCGCAGGTGTAAAGTGTTCTGATATTAAAAATGTTTGGGTAAACATACCTTTTTTTTATCCATAAACGTATGTGCGACGCCGTTGTTCGGCTTTGAACATGAATATTTTCTGTTCTGCTCCTCGTCCCGTTTTCTTTATTTCTCTTTTAACAGAACCTTATTCCAATCCACATATATTAGTCTGGATATTTGCAGTAGACTTGGTTACCCTACCCAAGAACATGTGAAATCATTAGCTAACGAATATCGACTAGATCCTTGTTCATTTACCGCATCAATTCTTGTTATATGAAAACCTGTCTGTACCATGAATCATTTCTCAGCCCATAAGATGATTGTCGTAACGCAACCTTCGTAACTTGCGCCAATTGATCGCTTTGTACATTCCATCTTTAAGAATACAATGAATCTTGTGAAATGTTTCAGTAACTTTATACCGTTTTAAAAAAAATATGTTGCTAGTCTTAACATTTTGATCTTGCCTGTAAATTGGCATGTCTCTTGTAACATGTTTGTTATTTGGGAATAAATTATTATTATTATTGTTATTATTATTATTTACGTACGCTTCACGCGTGTCTACTAGCATTGTTCCAAACCTTTTGATACTCCAAAATGTTTGTCAATAAATCTGAAGACCATAATCAAGATATACCGCGCATACCTTGAAAGTTGTATAACTTTTTCGCGTGATTTATCTTTCTCCTCACCGATCATTTTACTTGTAGTCAAAATATATAAACTAACGTTTTATACACATATCAGTTATTGTGAATTCTAACTTTTTACTGTAGTTTTTGGCTTCATAATCTTGCTGCTCTAGAAAAACGGAATTCACTACTACGTATAGGATTTAGTGGCTCACTACTGAACTCCAATGTGGACGAATGATCGAGTGTAAAATGAAATAAGTCTTCCTTTCCGCATCCGTGTGTTATACTTAGGCCAACCACGTTTGTGCGACGGTGGTAATAAATAAGCCAAAAAGGGTTTCGCGGATGAATTTATTTCATACAGTCATTTATGTAGGTGAATATGAGACGGAAATCTCACAAGGAAAACTAAGCGAATCGAAGAAGGCTAGTTATTAAACTCTCCATAAACTGAGGAATGACTAACTATTTATAGTCAAGCATTAATATGCTAGACATTAATAAGCGACAAAGCATCCACACGCAATCAAATACACAATAATCGATACTGTAATGGAATTATTACAAGTACAAAATTATGGTCAATATAATCATCCAATGATTTAAAAGACTAATTTTTAAAGTACAATAAATGAATGGTGGGATGCTACAAGGAAACCTGCTACACGCTCTAACAGTCTGGATTCAGTACTCAAACAACCTAGTAAGCAACAAAGCCTACTCTCTAATATTCCTACTCAGGACGTTCCTAAGCTTCTAAACGTAGGCCTTAGAAGTTACCAGGGTCAGGAAGCACACCGCAAATACCTGCCTAAACTCTAACCTTGAGCACTTCCCCAAATTTAACACAAAGCCCAACATCCCTTTAATTGCGGACAAAAACGTCAGAATACCAAGAGTTGCTCAGAAAACCCATAAGCTAACCTGTTTGGGGCATCCACCAAATGTTCCTAGGCACAACTATAGAATCTACAGTGGATTCTGATTTCAGAAAAACAGTTCTAGAAGTTTCGATACGCGCCTTGCCCAGTTTGGTACTCCACTCGATTCCATTTTGAGATTTTATCATTGTATATTGTTATTATTTCTATATCTTGTACTTATATTGAAGTTTCCATGTTTGCTTCTGAACTATATATATGTTGTTTAAATTTGATATTTAATATGGCTACAGTCATATTTGGATTTGATGCCGTAGCGATTCGGACTGGATGTACTTATTCTTCCAGAAACGGATACTCACCAGGGTAAATTGGATTTGGAAGGTGTAATAATTGTTGGGTAACTGTCTGTATTTCCATTTTATATTAAGTAAAGACAGTTTTCTCCCAGAATTATTGTGTTTTGGTATTGGATCTGGGACGTCGAGTACCAACATGCACCTATTGGAAACGGAGTGAACTGCTGGGGTAGAAAATCCATCTATAGTCCAACAATTAAGAAGAGCAAAGAAACATTTGGAATTTTCATCGTTTACAATCTCAAACTTCTTGCAAGAGGAATTTTTGGATTACTTATTGTTTATTTTGTTTAGAGTGTATTTAGGAAAACGATCTTTTGACCTTTTTGGATTTTTCATTGACGAAGAAGATTTACCGGTGAAAACTTAATATTTTGTCTTTGTTTTTTGCTTTCCGTTGAATTCCAATTAACTATGGGTTCTCGAAAGAAACCAAACACGAAGAGGTTTGAAGCCCATGAAGAATCCCGGAACGCAAGGCAAGTTGTTTATGATACTTCATGTTTAATGGGTTCACTCTCTACTAAGGATGATATTATGCTTAGTACTTATTATTGTAAGTCACCATTAGAAAGTACTAAGGAACAAGGTTTGGACGAGAACTTTGATGTACCTTGGAAAGATTTGATGTTTAGGACACCGGTAGTTGGCTTAGAATTGCCAAAGGTTGAACTCCCCTTCTTCGATGGTAAACACCGCGATTATATTAAGTTTATCAAGCAGTTTGAGACATTTATAGAACCCAGAGTTATGGATGATAATCTGCGTTTATTATATTTAATTCATTATTGTAAAGGAAAGGCGAGAAATGCGATTGAAGGATGCCTTTTAATGGAACCCCACGTGGGATATGAAAGAGCTAAGGCGTTTCTAAAGCACCTCTTCGGACAATCGCATGTAATAGCTCGTGAAACTCTGGAGGACTTGTTTAGATCTGGGAATGCGGATCACAACGACCCAGAACAATTGTCGGATTTAGCAATTAAGATGCAAAACGTTGCTCTAACTATGGAACAACTAAATTGTATGGCGGAGCTAAATTCTCTAGTAACTTTAGAGCGAATAGTCAGGTTCTTACCTCATCGAATGCAAGTCCAGTGGGCAGAGCTGGGAATTAAATGGGACGAAGAGGAAAGAGAGCCTACTTTCAGTGAATTGACTGACTTTATTATGTCTCGTGCTAGGATAGCTAGTTGTAGATTTGGAAGATTAGCTAATCGCGCTAAAACAGGACATGATACGGAAGCTATTAGTCGTCTGCGTGCGAGACATGAGGATTCTTCAAATGCGTTTGCATCTACCTCCCGCCCGGAACTTAAGAGAGTCGTTAATTGTATTAGAAAGGTATATCCTCTTGAAGACCGAGCATGCGACCCTGATGGTTTAAAATCCCTTGATGTGTATCCTAGTGAGAGGTCGGTGTGTGTAGCAGATAAGATGGGGTTTTTGAGTATGGAAAAGAAAGAAAAAGGCAAAAAGGGTAGGCATCAAGACGGATCCGAGGTGTGTGATGGTAGGAGCTTCTTAACTGCTCGAAATGCAAGGAACGGTAATTTGGATTCGAGCAAACAGAGGTTATTGAGTACAGTGAATATGAATAAGGACAAAACAGGTTTGGCTGTATGGAATAAAGCTGATGTTCGGAACCCTTCACTTAGGGTAAATTATGTAACACGACCTAGATTTGATCCTAGGACAACAAGCGTGAATAGTGACACAGCACTTCATGTTGCTGATCAATCAGGATGTCTGAAGGCTACTGTATCTATTTCTACGGAGCATCATGATATTGAAGCGGAAGATAATAGCAGCTTAGCGCGTCCTGCTGATGTTTGTTTGCATTCAACGAATGGACGGTTATATACTAGTCCAAGTAGACATAGCAACATTGATAGTGTTAGTATAAGTGGCAGCAGTGGTAGCTTAGCTTTAAAGCCTGCATGCCAACTATCTCGCAACTCGTCATTAACTTTGAATGATCGGAACAACTTTGTGGACAACAATAACGTCAGAGTAAAGGGGAAACCCCATGAATCTATTAATAGCGTAGTTGATGTGAATAATAAACGTGATGGAAACGATAGTGGAATCACTATAGGTAGTGCTGTTTCGTCGGTTGACGTTCCTAATATAGCTTCTATGAGTACTTCGGATCAAGACGGAATTGGATGTTTCAGCGTGGAGAAGGTAGGCGTTGTAGAATTCTTTTTGAATGTTTTGTGTTTTGGAAAATCCCTCCATGTTTACATATTTTTGCTATGACCTGATGGACTTTTTCTCTTGACATTTTTGGTATTTTATTTGATTCCAATTTGAGATTTTTACCATTGTATGTTGTTATTCTTTCTATATTTTGTACTTATATTGAAGTTTTTGTGTTTGCTTTTGAACTGTACATATATTGTTTAAATTTGATATAATATGGCTACCGCCACATTTTTGGATAGACGCGGTGGCTGCTGGACTTAGTGTCACTTACTAGCTATTGTAATAGATACTCTACGGAGTAATTTAGTCCTGGAAGAAACAAAAATACCAGACGTTTTCTCCTAGAAAATTTGACCTTCTGATTTGGCTGGAACCTGGATCTAGGAGTAACGTACAGGAGTGTTTCTATTGGAAGCAATTAGGACAGCCACCGGCAAATTAAATCTACAGTCTGGTATTTGCTCCGTTCGTGGACTATACCTTGTGGAATTTCATCTTTCGTGGATCTATTTGGATTATTAAGAATTACAAGGAAACATTTGGAATTTAATCGTTTATCGTAATTTTGAACTGAATTTTGGAATTACTCTATTTTCGTGTACGTACATCAGTTCAATTTGTCATGCTACACACATAAAAACGCGCACAAACATGGAATTGCCCATTCAGTCAAATTGCATAATTGTAAAGGTTGTAACAGCAGTGTATTAAGGATTAAAAGAATGATTGGAAAATTTTATCGCAGTGTAAAAGTCATGAATAATTCGAAAAGATTAGAATTTTGAGCCAACCAAGGTGGTCTATATCTACTAAGATGGCTCAGTTCAATTGTTATTGATCTGATGGATTTGTGACATGATTTTTTGGTTTGTTTTACTGGGTTCAATTCAATCTTAATTGATACAAAACATGTTTTATTATGATGTGCAATGTCCGAAATCTAAACTCATTACTCGCTGATCCCTAGAAATGATCATTTGAACGAAACTGAAAGAATGGAAGAGGAAGTCTATTTGGTTACCGAATACTGTTATAATGCTGCTAGGTAGCTATTGAAATCCTACCGACGTTCGAATCCAGATATACGACCCCGAATCTCCTGTATATCAGGACAACACCGTTAGATGAAGTAGTTTATGGGGTCCAGTACAGTAGAGAGAAAGGTAGGAAGGAACGAAATGTAAAGCTTTACAGATAATCCGTATTTATACATTTAGGTCGAATAAGAAATACTGTCAAAGTCTGTGACATTGAAAGTTAAGACAACCAATAAGAAACAACATTAGAGTACGTGACATTGATATCTAGGACGACCATAAAATTGACCAATAATTCTCTTAGGATATTGGATGAATATCCTAACAAATACTCATTTATATCTGTGTATATATATGTACATCCCTCCCCCCTTAGAAAATAAATCCATCTTTTAACCAATGATATGCATTCGTCCTTGAGGACATTTTTAGTTGTCTTCAAGTGACTTTCTCATTTAACTACTTCTGATTAGCTTTCTGTATTAATAGTGACTTTGTTGTTCGAATTTGGTGAGTACCGTGAAAAGTTTTTGAAACAATTATTTAACATCAAGCTGTTTATTGTCTAGACTAAAATATCACAGTGGATAACTGATAACGACTAGGTTATCTATTTGAATAACTGAGCTATTTGTTACCTTAACATTCAAATATTTCAACATAGTTGTTTCAATATATCAGTTATGTCTGAGCATTATATAATTTATTCAGGTGTGTATATATATATATATATATAAAAGGCGTACAACCACAATTTAAGACATCTCGATGGCTGGCAATACTCTGAGAATTTCACATTGTACTCATTCATCATCAACAACAACAACGTAGAACTTTGCACGTCAATACAGCAGTTCAAGTTGCCATACCATATTAGCACAGAGAGATATAATTGTCAATTCAAATCCGATTGTAGTAGAGGTAGTCAAAGTATTAGTAGTAATCAGAGAGATTAGGGTTCGAAGATGTTAATTCAAGAAGTATAATTCAGTGAGGTAAATTTAGAAAGAGAGAGGTGATGAAGAATTTAGAAAGTTAAAATTTCATAGAACACAAACAGTAAATGCACCTACACACCTGCACTCCCAGGTTGTTAAGACCAACGCTAATCTACCTTCTTTTTCAGGTTCCTCAAAAAACACCCTTCCATGGTGTAAGAAGCCGGGAAGCAAAATCCACCGTATAATACTCATAAAAGCTTCACATTGTACTAAACACATACTACTGAATAAAGCCATTACAATAAATATTATTCAATCAGACACACCAGTTTAATTAATCATGTTCCAAATAGACTGGAACATGTGTATTATTACACATATTTGAAATCATCACCCAATGATTGTTAGACCACCACCATTAGAAACCTGGAAGAAGCATTAGAAGGCCGTTTTGTCCTAGTATGGGACTCATCAGTGGCAGTGCGCATCCATGACTCCTTCAACTCGCAGGATTCGAACCCGGGACCTTCGGTATTATGCGCGAACGCCTAACCGTCGGACCACTGGGTCGGCCGGGATCCAACGGTATTCATGTCTAACTCTGATTGATCTAGGGATTTCGCGCGATCAGTGCTTCCAGGTTTCTTCTAATAGTGATGGTCCTAACAAATGATTGGTTAATGATTTCAAATGTGTAATAAAACACACACAACTCTCCAAAACTCTACCTCAAAATGTTGTATTATTATTTTCGGATTACTATACTGTTCACATTTGTTATCTTTCTTTCATTCAAACAATGATAATAGGAAACTGTACGATTTTTTAAACATTGGTTTGGTATACAATTGAATGGTGTATTTTGGGAATTTATACGTCCATGGATTTTATTTATCATTGTGAATGATATTGTAATTATCACTACATCAATTTATGCATTGACTACATTGAATCATGTAAGTTTGTTTTGTTTTGTTTGTTTGTTTAAATTAATATATAATTATTGAATGTTGATTACGCGCGAAATTCAAAAATAACATGATAGATTGTTTGTTGTATTGTGGTGCGCGCTACTTATAAGTAGTATATGACATGAGTGTAAACGTAATGTCTGGCAGCAGGAGATGGGGGAAGATCAAGAAAGTAAGAAGAGTGGGGAGAACACAATGGAATTTGTATGAAATGCGCATGAACAGTGAAATGTCAGACAATGGATTGATGATGGATTGAAGATTTGCAAATTAACCGTTTACGATATGATTTTCCTATTTTACTGAGTAACTCTGTAATTTTCGTTAAATACAATTCGGTTGCCCCACCTGTGTTCTCCTCCACTACAGTATGCGATGGTGAAGTTGTGTTCTCTGTAGTTGAGGAAGATGTTTTAATTGTGGAGCTTTCATCAGTTTAATCTCCTTATGGCAGAAATGCATAAAGTCACTCACTCACTGACATGTCGACTACTGAGTCATGTTGATAGATGTAGGCTATCTGGTTGGGGTCCGCGAGACGAAAGTCGCCAATGGTTAGAGATCTTGAACGATATGGCTCAAAATCGTTTGCAATGGCGCAACAAGTGCATCCATTCTTTGTGTTCTCTCTAATTTTAACCTTCTGAATTTCTCATCCTCTCTATCTTTCTCTTTCGAAATTTATCTCACTGAATTATACTTCTTGAATAATATCTTCGAACCTTAATCTCTCTGATTACTGTTAATACTTCTACTATCTCTATCATTCTTGTATTTGAACTGACATTTGCGTCTCTGTGCTAATGTTGATGTGGTATGGAAACTTGAACTGATGTACGTACGGTATGAAGTTGTACGTTGCGACTGACTGATGGTTACAGTATTAGACAAACAGATAGATACAACGTAGAACTTCATACATAAGTACATCAGTTCAGGTTGACATACCACGTTAGCACACAGACACAAATGTCAGTTCAAATCCAGGAGTGATAGCGATATGAGAATTATTAGCAGTAATGAAGAAGATTAAGGAGCGACGATATGGTTCGAAAAGTATAATTCATTAAGATAAATTTATTAGGAGAAAGATAGAGATTATGAGGAATACAGAAGCTTAGAGTTTGAGAGAACACAAAGAGTGGATGCACCTGCGCCGTTGCAAATGATTTTGAGTCATGTCGTTCAAGGTCTCTAACCATTGGTGACTTTCGTCTCGCCGACCCCAGCCAGGTAGTTGATACCTACCAACATGATTCACTCCACTTGTCAGTGATGAAAGCTTCACAACCAAAACAGCATCCAACTCAGAGAACGCAACTCTACCACAATCATCCCCTTAAGCTACATATTTTCTCCGCCATCACTTTGTTTGTATGGTGGTATTATTAACGAAATCTTCCGCTGTTCGTAACCTGCTTGAACTCGATGGATAAGTGAATTAAAGATGGTGCTTACGTTAAAAATTACCAAACAAAATCGTTCTTAAAGGAAATCGTACAATGAAGAACTCGTTGTGACTCAATGCAGAGTCAAGAATATTTTTTTAGTGAAAATAGATACTATACTCCCCCTTCTTACGTTCTCGTAAGTTTGTAATGTGGTGGTATGGCAACCTGAATTGATGTACTTACTGCCAGGATTAGAACCCGGGACCTTCGATATTGGGCGCGAACGCCTAACCATCGGACCACTGGGCTAGCATCCAACGGTGTTAATGTCTAAATATGATTGATCTACAGATTTTGCGCGACCTCACCCATTTGTCTTTGGTAGTTACTACCTACACCCGACAGGGTTGAACTCCATTGGTCACGTCTTCTCACTAGAACTTCTATTATTTCCTCACGAAGCTTCTAGTCACTAGTGACCACTGTAACGAGGTGCAGGAGTCGTGGATACGCACTGCCGCTGATGAGTCCCGTACCAGGACGAAACGGCTGTCTTTCAGTGCTTCCAGGTTTCTAATGGTGGTGGTCTAACAATGATTGATTGATGATTTCAAATATGTAAAATTTACTCACTACACTACTATCAAATACACTAATAATCATAAATTCTGATAGCATTTTTCAATTTTCCTCTACAATACACATCTTATCTATCTATCTGTTAAACTATTTCTAATTTCATAGTATGAACATTTGTGTGCTCTCTGTTAAATTGAATGTAATTGACAATCAAACTAGAGATAGGTGTAGTTCTGTTTTTTTTCGTTTCTTCTAAATATAAAATGATGCATATTTATTGTGTGTATGTGTGTGTATCAGTTATTGTGATCAGTCAGTCGATCGATCGACCGATCGACCGATCAGTCAATAAATTTTTTCACATGAAGTAATAATTTTTCAAAATATGTATATACCTACTACTGTTACTCTTAATGGAGCATAGACCCGCCGACCAGCGAATTATTTTTCTGGTTAGCCATTTTGTTTTAGCGAGTTAATTTTCTACTACGGGATGAGGGTCGCTAACCCCCCATGCTCAACCCTCCTCCTCCTATATCCACCCGAGCTTATGACTGGGAATAACCCTAGAAGGGCTTCAGACGGAGTTATAGACCTACTAACTAAAATCACATAACAAACGCAGCCGGATTGAATTTCAGTTGCATATACAACTTTACTATGATTAAAATCAGTAGATGATAAGCAATGGAACTAATGAAGACAAGTTAACTTGTCAATGTCAATTTTTTGACAAATCGATATGATTGCTCACAGATAGACAAACAGACAGATACAACGTAGAACTATGCACGTAAGTACATCAGTTCAGGTTGCCACAACACATTAGCACAGAGACATTAATTTGTCAGTTCAAATACAAGAGTGGTAGCGATAGTAGAATTATTAGCAGTAATGGAGAAGATTAGGGAGCAAAGATATGATTCGAAAAGTATAATTCAGTAAGATAAATTTAGAAGGAGAAAGATAGAGATTATGAAGAATGCAGAAGCTTAGAGTTTGAGAGAACACAAAGAGTGGATGCACCTGCGTCATTGCAAACGATTCTGAGCCATGTTGTTCAAGGTCTCTAACCATCGGTGATTTTCGTCTCGCGGACCCACAACCAGGTAGTCTACATATCCCAACATGACTCAGTCCACTTTCTAGCGACTTCATGAATTTGTGTCATGTTTTGGTCTGGCCACCCCTAACTTTCTTCCAGTCTACTCCCACACCACAAAACGTAGCTCATCGAGGCAGTCGGTGGTTAGGCATTGTTTACTCTCGTTTTCTGTTCTCCCAATGTAATGTATTTTGTCACATACATTCCGGATATGTTCTTTTCAATGCAGCGCTACATCTAGACTCAATGTTACCAGATAATTTATCAATGTTGTTAGGAATCGTGTGCTAGGTAAGGATGGCAGATCAATAGATGAAGTAGTGAATGTTCATCAGTTGAGGTGGTTAGGACATGTGTTACGTATGTCAAGCCGCCGTGTGACTCGACGAGTAGGAGAAGAGCTGGAAGAAAGATAGGAGCGGGCACATCAAGACATGGCGCAAATCCATGAAATCACTGACAAGTGGACTACTGAGTCATGTTGGTAGATGTAGACTGTCTGGTTGGGATCGGCGAGACGAAAGTCACCGATGGTTAGAGACCTTGAATAACATGGCTGTAAATCGTTTTCAATGGTGCAGGTGTATCCATTCTTTGTGTCCTCTCAAATTCTAGTCTTCTGAATTTCTCATCACCTTTATGATTCTGCTCTTAAATTTCTTTCGCTAGATGACACTTCTTGAATAATATCTTCAAACCCTAATCTCTTCGATTATTGCTAATACTTCTACTATGTGATTTCAATTGATAATTTGGTCTTTCTTAGCTAATGTGATATGATAACCTGAACTAATGTACATACGTACGAAGTTCTACGTTGTAACTGACTGACGGACTTACTTTGTTACCCACACATACAGTCAGTCAGATGCAACGTAGATATTCGTACATAAGTACATCAGTTCATGTTGCCATACCACATTAGCACACACAGAGATATAATTGTCAATTCAAATCCAATAGTAGTAGAGGTAGTAAAGGTATTAGCAGTAGTTAGAGAGGTTAGGATTAGAAGATATTATTCAAGAAGTATGATTCAGTGAGAAAAGTTTAGAAAGACAAAACTAGAGAGGTTGAAGAATCTAGAAGATTAGGATTTGAGAGAGCTCAACGAATGGATGCACTTGCGCCACTGCAAACGATTTTGAGCCATGTCGTTCCAGGTCTCTAACCATTGGTGACTTTCGTCTCGCGGACACCAACCAGTTAGCCTACATCTACCAAAATGACTCAGTACACTTGTCAATGACTTGATGGATTTGTGTCATGTTTTGGTATGGCCACCCCTAACTTTCTTCTAACCTATTCATACACTACAAAACATAGCTCGTCGAGGTAGTTGGTGGTTAGGCATACGTAACAGCTATCCCAACCGACTCAACTGATGAATTTTCATTACTTCATCTATTGATCTGCCATTCTTACCTAACACCCGTTTCCTAATAACAGTGTTGCTCACCCACACACACACACATACACGCTTTGTGAATTGCATTCTGTCACTCTGGATTCGTGAACATACATACCATTAAGATTTCAAAATCTTTCACACACGTATTAATTAATAATCAACAAATATGTTTGAATGTATTTGTCTAAGTAATGAACTAACGATAAAAAAAATTCTGTAAACAAGACTTAAGTATTCCATTACACACACACAGACACATTGTTGTCATTCTTGTGTAGGACAAATTTCTTTTGTCTACACAAATCAAAAAAATAAATCGATTTGTTTGTAGAACTTGATTTAGTTTTTTATATGCGTGCTTCACTTATGTATATTTTTCTGATCTAACAATCCTCAATCCCTTTTTTGTTATTAGTGTACGTAATAGTCCCTTCCTTCTTAAAATTATTACGTAACTTTGAGTATCAGTTGTTCCTTTTCTAGAATTTTCATGTTGATATTGAAAGGTTGCTGTTATGACTCGATCAACACAGCCGTCCATTTTTTTTCAGGTTTCTAATGATGTTGTTTGGTCTTTATCAATTGATCAATTCATGGCTTCAATGAAGTTTTGAATTATTACTGATCAAATGAATATCTCACCATTGAAACACGTTTTGTGGTTGTTTCAACTGTGTTCCCCTACTTACTTACTTAGGCCTGTTACCCCTTAATGGAGCTTAAGCGGTTGATGACCATGTTACGCCTGCACGTAAGTACGTCAACGTGATATGCTTGAACTATTACGAGTTTATCTAGTCGGATAAACGAGAGCGAGGATCGAGGATCCGGCGACACGACATGCTACTCAAATCCGACTATCCCAACCCCCATAATGGGTGAAAATAAGAAGACTTGAATGTGGAGTAGAACCTGTATTCTACAAGTATCCAGAAAGTACGAGGTCCGAATCCAGAAGAGAATCAGGATCCGGAACTAGGGATCCGGGTCCGGGTCATAAAATGTTACAGATATCTCCTATTTATACATTTTGGTCGAATAGGAAACAGCATGGAAGTCTGTGACATTGGCAGTTAAGACGACCAATAGGAAGTAACATTTGAAGTTAAATTAACAGTCAGGACAACCAATAAGAAACAACATTGGAGCACGTGACATTGATGTCTACTAAGACAACCATTAAATTGACCAGTAGGAATTAACCAATAGGAATTGACCAATAATTCTCTTAGGATATTGGATCAATATTCTAACAGACCTGCATTCTTCAATCTTCTCTATCTTGGGCTTTGCTTTCCGGTTCTACTAAAGCGTTGTTCATTCTTTCCATGTCTACTTCCTGTTCTTGGCATACTATATTCTTTGATATTCCTCTTTTCCTTTGACCTTGACGATTCCAAATGAGGGTTTGCTTTGTGATGTAGTTGGGTGCTTTTCACAATGTGTGTTCTATCCACCTGTAACATCACATCCTAATTTCTTACTTCACTGGAATCTGGTTGTTGCTGATTGTGTCTGGTTGACGAATCCAAAGTATTTTACATAGACGACACTTGTATCTTTCAGACCATTACTTTTGTGTTTTTGTCTAAGTTTCTACTGCATACAATGGAACTCTATCTATCTTGACTTTGATGTTTGTCGGTAGTTGTTTTGAGTTTCACTTGTAGATATGCTTCGTTTTTTCTTTACTAATCCGCACCTTCGCATCTACATCAGATTCACCTTTTTTCATCAATCATGTTGCCTATTATTGTCTATTTTAATCTTCGTCAATGCGTATATTTCTGATATTATTATGATATAAAGTATATGTGGTACACATTGATTGACTTTTAATGAGAAACCTTGATATAAAAATGAATTTATCTTATTGTGTTCTGTCTGTCTGTTGTTGTTGTCGTATTGTGTTAGTCTGATTAGAGAGAGTGATAGCATACCTTGATGATGTGATTTTAATGGTCATTTTTTTTAAATTTGATTTGAATATTTGAATTGTTCTGTCTTTATGCCAACTTGTGCATTAGGAGTCAAAGTCGATTTAGCTAACGTTGATACGCTTGAATGTTATTAAGAGTTCGCCGTATTCGGTAAACGGCTCGGACGCAGATCAACGATGTAGTGACATGATAGGCGGCTATTTTAATCCGTTTCTCCTAGGCCCCGCTATTTAGAGCAAGAAGTCTTGATAAGGTGTAGAGAAAGGTTGAGATTGCTAAGCATACAACTCAAGCTTATTTATACAATGATAAAGACGCCCTTAGTGAGAGCCACAAAATAGCGTACTAAAAAAATCCGTCAATCAATGACAGTCAAAGATATTCCGAGTGGATTATGTAAGCTGTAGGTTAACTAAGCGTCTTTTGGCACGAAACCAATGAGATTCAAAATCTCAGAATAAAATTTACAAAATTAGGACCTTTTCTAAGCGAGTTCTAGGGATCTAACGTCACCAAAGTTAAGTAACGTACAAACCGAGAGATATTTTTATATTTCGTTCGAATATATACTGAAATCTTTAATCAATCATTCTCGGACCATCATTAGTAACTAGAAGCACTGGATGGTCGTTTCGTCCTAATGTGGGACTCAATTGCAGTGCGAATCCACGACCTCCACTTGTGGGATTCGAACCCAAAACTTTCGGCCTTGCACGCGAACACTTATTCTATAGACCACTGAGCCGACATCGTACGTTGTTAATGCTTAACTTAGATTAGTCCAATTAATTGCGCAGCCTCATGCATTGTTTTCGGTGGGTAACTTCTCGCACCCAACACGACTGAACTCCACTGGTCTCGGCTTCGCTTTAGTATTCCGATAACTTCCTCACGAAACTAGTCACGAAACAGGTATCATCTACCCATACAAGGAGGAAAGGGGCCGTCAAGTGCTTCCAGCTTTCTAATTGTCGGTCTAACAATAATCAATTCATGACTCAACTGTCTCCACAATTCCGCATAGTGAAAATATTTTAAATGTTTATTCCTTTCTTTCTTATTACTGTTTAGATTCAAGTGAAATATGAACCATTGACTTATTTAATGGGTATTGGTGCATTACTTGTTTGGATTGGTATTCTGTATTATGTTGGCTTCTCATATGACAATAGTGTAAGTAAATATGTAGATTGGATTTTTGATTAGAATGTATTTGATTACGACCAATTCGGTCTTGTGTGCTGTTACGGGTATGAGGGCGGTTGTCACTTCTCGGCTGACCACATCGTGGAAGTGTGTTTCTTGAAGAACCTGGAAAGGAAGGTGATTAGTGTTGGTCTTAACGAGCTGGGAGCCTGACCGCATAGCTCAGGGGACAACTGTTTGAGGCCGGTCACGCACGGCCTTTTTATGCAAGCTCCTCTCTCAAAAACCCTTAGTGGGTAGCTCTTACCGCCGAAGACGGAAATCCGTGAGGTAGGATGAGGTGTGACATTTTCAGGGTCGACATTTTCTAACCGTTCCTTCCTTGTGAGACGACAGCATCGCTCCAAATGCTGGTTGTCCGAGCGAAACACCTTACTGCTGTCACACCCCTCTGCAGTCAGCAGTATGATTCGGCCTCAGACCTTGAGTAGCTATTTTTAGTCTCATCGTTCTCCAATCGACCTGCCTGGTATGGTAGAACCTACAGGATTATATGTTCCAGTCAATATATCTCGGTTGGTTCATCACGTTCATTTACAATTATAACCTAATGTCTGTTGAGACTTTTATTAAGTTTCATATAAAATACCTTGACAAGTGTATATGTTTGTGTGACCAGATTGTTCGAAACATGAATAGCACGCAAATACTTCACAATGAATTTCAGATCAAATATGTCTTCTCATATTGTTCTATCAAAATGTTTATGTTACTTATAAGTAGTATAAAGTTATTGTGTAGTGAACTTCATAAACACATTCTGGTTTATTTCATTAATATTTCACTAATATAGAGAACTAGTCAGAGGTTCCTGGATGTTAATGCCATTCGCTTACCATCAGTAATGTCCAAAATGATAAATGTACATACATTGTTCAAGAAATGGATTCGATCCATACGGTTACTGAACCATGGATTGAACCATGTTGGTAGGTGTGTAGACTGCTTGATTGGGGTCCACGAGACTATAGTAACCTCTACTACTATGGGATTTGAATTGATAATTCGATCTGTGTGTGCTAATGTGTGGTATGAAAACTTGAACTGATTTACCTACGTACGTATGAAGTACTGCGTTTTAGCTGATTACTTGGCATATATTTGTCGGTAGCCAAATAGACTTGTACGTCCACTCTTGAATGCTTGTTCAAGTAGTCAGCTTAAGAGCAAGGGAATGGTTATCACGCATTATATTCAGATTTCCAAGACTACACATTATAACTGCTATGCTCTTCACTTGATATCTCCTTGAACGTATTACAAGTTCACCTTAGTCGATAAGCAAGATTTCGACTAATTTGGTCTCGTGTGCTGTTACGGGTATGAGGGCGGTTGTAACTTCCCTGCTGCCCACACCGTGGAAGGTTGTTTCTTGAGGAACCTGAAAAGGAAGATAGATTAGTGTTGGTCTTAGAGACCTGGGAGCGTGATCGCAGAGCCCAAGGGACAACTGATTGAGGCCGGTCACGCACGGCCTTTTATGAAAGGTTTTTTTAGTATTAGCTCCACTCTTTTTGAAAGCCCTTAGTGGGCACCCTTACCAATGGAGAAGGAAATCCGTGAGGTAGAGTGAGGTGTGATGTTTTTAGGGTCGACCATTTTTAACCCTTCCTTGTGAGAAGGCAACATTGCTGCAGACGCTGGTTTTCCGAGGGAAACACCTTACTGCAGTCACACACCTGCAGTCAGCAGTACTACTTCGCCCTCATACCTTGAAAGGCTGCTTTTTGTCTCATCGTTCTTCAATCAACCTGTCTAGCATGGTAGAACCTACAGGAATATATATTCCAGCCAATATAGCTCGTTTGGGTCATGACGACAAGCAAGCCCGACCACCACGTCAAGGTAACAGCTACGGTCGGGTGATAAGCGAGAACAAGACAATGAAGCAATGACACAGTAAGATATTTCTAATCCGTTGTCCCCGACCCGGCTAACTATATAAACAAGTCTTGATATGGCGTAGAAAAGTGTATTCTACAAACACCCAGAAAATATCAGGTTGACAACCACACAAATCGCTTTTAATTATACATCATAGAAACATCCTTGAGATAACCACTAAAATAACACATCAACCAATCACATGTGAGAAATGTAAAATCTCAAGGTCAACTGATCAGCTCACGAATAAAATTCAAAATAAAGACGAGCATTGGTTCAAGCGAATTCTGGGGGATCTAACATCCCCTCCCCCAAACAATAACAACTCTCATTTATTCTATGTTCAATTCATTTTGACATTCAATGTTCAATTGTCATTCTACTTTGTTTAAATGTTTTTATCATCCTTATTGTTTTATTTTTTCCCTTTTTTTCTTACAGCTTCTCATCCGTACTATATCACATTCTATTCCAGGATTATTACGTTTTTGTGTTTGTGCGCTAATTTTATTCTTTGCATTCAGTTTATGCGGTTGGGTTGTATTAGGACCGTATAATTTAAAATTTCGTACATTTATATCGACAGTGGAATGTTTATATAGTTTAATTAATGGTGATGATATGTTTGTCACTTTTAGTATTATTAATGAAAATGCACCAATTGGAATTTATTTATTTAGTCGATTGTTTTTATATATTTTTATTACATTATTTATATATGTTGTATTGAATTTATTTGTCACAATTATATTTGAAGCATATGAAGAAGTGAAAGTGAGTGTTGTTGTGTTTTTGTGTGTGTCTATGTGTGTGTGTGTCTATGTATTTATTCTATTGATTAAAACTGTTAACACTTTGACACTGTGTTTGATCATCAGTCAGTCAGATGCAACGTGGAACTTTGTACGTATGTAGGTGGTACATCAGTAGTTCATGTTGCCATTAGCCACATTAGAACAAACAGAGAGATGGAATTGTCAATTCAAATCCAATAGTAGTTAGTAGAGGTAGTAAAGGTATTAGAAAAAATCGGAGAGGTTAAGATTAGAACATATTATTCAAGAAGTATGATTAAGTGAGAAAAGTTTAGAAAGTCAAAACTAGAGAGAGGTGTTGAAGAATCCAGATTAGGATTTGGATTTGAGAGAACACAAAGAATAAGTGGACCGGTGCCATTGCGAACGATTTTGAGCCATGTCATTCAACGTCTCTAACCATCGATTACTATTATTATCTCGCGGACCCTAACCAGGCAGTCGACAATTACCGACATGGCTAAGTCCACTCGTCAATGATTTCATGGATTTGTGCCATGTTTTGGTTTGGCCGCCCCTAACTTTCTTCCAACCTACTCCTACACTATAAAACATAGCTCGTCGAGGCAGTCAGTGGTTAAGCATACGCAACACATGTCCTAACCACCTCAACTGATGAAGTTTCACTACTTCATCTATTGATCTGCCATACTTACCTAGTACCCGTTTCCTAATAACAGTGTTGCTCACTCGGTTGTCCGAGGATATACGAGCAATGCTTCGGATACACCTATGATCGAAAACTAGTAACCTACGGATGTCCTCTACTCTTAACGGCCATGTTTTCCATCCGTATAGTAGGACAGAACGAACTGCTGCGTAGTGCACTCGTCCTTTATTCATCAAACGGATATCTCGCCTTCGCCATAAGTGACACAGGTTGGCAAAAGCCAATCGAGTCTTCTGTATCTGAGCTGATATTTCGTCTGTCACCAGGCCATCGGCACTGATGAGACTCCCAAGATAAGTGAAGCGGTCTACACGTTCGACTACTTCACTCCCTATCACTAGTTCAGGTGCCGATGCAACCCAATCTTGAAGCAACATTCGATCATAGATGTCTTAGAAGCATTGCTCGTGTATTGCTGGACAACTTAGTAAGCAATGCTGCTATTAGGAAACGGGTGTCAGGTAAGGATGGCAGATCAATTGGTGAAGTAATGATGTTGATCTGTTTACTAGTGTACGAGTAGGAGCCTATGATTATTTTCAGATGTCACTGATTTGTGTAGTTATCAGTTCACATTATGATATATTTTTAAGTAAGGGTTCTCACCATGTTTATATCAAACGACTGGTTTACATATCTGTTATATTAAGAAACGATTTTTCTGTAAAAGCACCCGATATTCTTTCTAAAAAAATTCATTAACATGTTATGTAAACAACATTTTTTGCATTTAAAATTTAACTACTTATGAGTAGGTAAAAGAATAATATCTTCATAATTAATGCTACTCTGTTTGTAATTAAGAGTAGCCTTAAAGTATTGTAAACTTTTAAGCCAGTAAATTGTTACGTCATCGTACAAATGTCTTGTCACATTAATAAACTAGAGACTATTGAATATTCTATTCGATTTGAGTAGTGCACAAAGCATACCAGTTCTCTGGTTTCAGTTGATAGTTCTCCTCACGAACTCCTTGAGCAATAGAAAATATGACCTTAAACTAGTTGGATAACGTTGTGTTTGGTTAATGAATTATGAGTATGATGATAGAGTCTTATAGATTATCACAGTCTAGCTAGTGACCAGCAACAGGCTTTTAAATACCATTTTAGTTAGCCCCAGGATCGTGAGGCTGATTTGCACCGTTGGTTCGCAATCAAGGCTTTAAAATTCAACCAGGTTCAAGCGTATGACATTTGGTTTTAATCGTCTTGATTTCACAAACAATACCTTGATCACGAAAAGGTAGTGAGTATGACTTCCCCCAAAACGATTATATATGCATGGCTATATGAGATTATTTTGAGAGAGGTAGCGATGTCTCACATTCCTCTATCATACTACTAAGGATTCATGGTTTTAATTAATAAGCGCTTGTAATACAACTTTAAAGAAGCGTAATTTCTCAGATTTTCAAATATTCAACATTCAATCTTACTAGGTGCAGGCTTAATTTCTTAGTTTTAAATTAGGCATTCGGTGCAACTACTAGGATGCCTAAATAGAAATTGATGACGTTCATCTTTCAACAAACTTTTTTCACATATTTACTGAATCACTTCACTGTTGCTACTGGTTCAATCCAATTTAGAGTTTACGTATTTACTTTTTCCAGGCTTGGGATCGGCAGTAACCTAAGAGAGGGACTGCAGTAGGAGTTAATATCAACATAGAGTAGAGATTAAAGTTTACTCTCAGATCTAGTATAGTGTTGTTATTCGGTGCATTTTTTTCATATTTAACTGACGAGGCTGTGAGACCTAACTGAATTTACGTACTACTCGTCAGACAATTTACAATCCAAAACAATGTTGTTGTGAAGATTGTTAAGTTACACATTTTTGAAACCATGAATCGATCAATGTTCGACCAGCATTAGAAACCTAGAAGCACTGGACGGCCGTTTCTTCCTGGTATGGGACTCGTCAGTGGTGTGCACCCGCGACTCCAGCACCCCTCAGGATTCGAACCCAGAACCTTCGGTATAGTGCGCGAACGCCTAACCATCGGACTACTGAGCCGGTATCCGATGGTGTTAATGTCTAACTTGATCAATTCACGGAGTTGCGAAACCTCATACACAGTCTTCAGTTGTTACTGTCTACACTCGAACAGGTTTAACTTCACTGGTCACGTCTTCCCACTGGAACTCGGAGAAGATTCTCCTCATGAAGCTAGTCATTGATGAGCACAGGTAATTTGCATTACGGGGTTGTGTTTCAAAAATGTGTAAGTTAACAATCTTCACAACAACCCCGTAATGCAAATTACCTGTTCTCATTAGTGACTAACTTCGTGAGGAATCTTCTCCGAGTTCTAGTGGGAAGACGTGACCAGTGAAGTTAAACCTGTTCGGGTGTAGACAGTAACAACTGAAGACTGTGTATGAGGTTTCGCAACTCCGTGAATTGATCAAGTTAGACATTAACACCATCGGATACCGGCTCAGTAGTCCGATGGTTAGGCGTTCGCGCACTATACCGAAGGTCCTGGGTTCGAATCCTGCGGGGTGCAGGAGTCGTGTATTTGCACTGCTGAGGAGTCCCATATCAGGACGAAACGGAAGTCCAGTGCTTCCAGGTTTCTAATGGTGGTCTAACATTGATCAATTCATGGTTTCAAATAAATCCAAAAAACAGTGTTGTCATCTGTGCGTGTGTGCGTGTATGTATGTATGAATACAAATTTTACAGAGAAAAAAACAACTTATCTCTCACTTTTAGAATATGCAAACAACACATGGACGTTCATTGCATACCGACTCACCATTATGGCATTTTATTTGTCAACAATCTTATAATCCCAAATCAACTATATTTAAAGAAGATGAATTACGACCAGATCGTCATTTACTGCATAAACATGCTGTTGGTTGTCGACTGGCCACAACAACAACGACCACAACATCCTCCTCTTCCACATCATCTCTACTAAAACATCCAATCAAACATTCCTCTTGCAAATTCTCATCTATACGTAAATATTTAAGGCATAAAACTTCTTTAATGAATAATCATCATACAGAATGCCATTCACATCAACAAAAAACAAGCTCTTGTTGTTGTCATTCTAGTCGGCGACGATGTTGTTGTAGTCAGTCACAACCTCAGTCACAATCACAACCTCAGCAGCAGCAACAGCAACCTCAGCAGAATTCAACAAATCATTCTATTATAATTGAACAACATTCTCCACTCATAACAATTGCTACAACTTATTCCGATAATAATATTGTTGAACACGAAAATAATAATGATTATGTTGAGAAACAACACCAAGAACACCACCAACAAGAAGAAGAATTGAATGAATCGATGTGCACTCACGATAAATAATCTTTTGAATTGTACTCTATGTAATCGAATCAATGAACAAGTAAGCACGTGATGATGTATATATATATATATATATATTTTATTTGAAAAATTATCGGAATGATTAAGAGTTTATATTAGTGAATTCATGAATTGATCAATGTGTTGTTAGACCACTATTGTAAATGCTTGGAAGTTCTGTTTAGACGACTGTTTCATCCCAGTGTGGGACTCGTCAGCAGCACTGCACATTCACGAACTGTTGCTCACGCGTATCGAACCCAGGGATTTCGGTCTCACGTGCGAACACTTAACCTATAGACCACTGAGCCAGAATCCAATGGTGTTAGTCAGTCAGTCAGTCAGTTGCAACGTAGAACTTCGTACATATGTACATAAGTTAGGTTGTCATACCAACACATTAGCACAGAGACGTAAATGTAAAAATCAAATCCTATAGTGGTAGTAGAGATAGTAGAGGTATTAATGGTAATGAAGAAGACTACAGTTTGAAGATATTATTCAAGAAGTATAATTCAATGAGATAAGTTTAGAAAGACAAAGGTAGAGGTGCTGACGATTCCAGAAGATTAGGATTTGAGAGAGCTCAAAGAATGGATGCACTTGCGCCATTGCAAACGATTTTGAGACATGTCATTCAGGGTATCTAACCATCGATTATTATCATCTCGCAGACCCCAACCAGGTAGTTGGCAACTACTTGTAATGAAGGAGAACACAGGTGGGGCAACCGAATTGTATTTAACCAAAATTACAGAGTTACTCAGTAAAATTGGAAAACCATATCGTAAATCGTTAATTTGCAAAATATCAGTTTCTCCTATCGAACTGGACTGTTCCTGTTGCAAAACATCAATCCATTGTCACTATTCATGCATTTCATACAAATTCCATTGTGTTCTAACTCTTCCTTTCTTGATCTTCCCCTATCTTCGGCTGCCAGACATTACGTTGACGCTCACGTCATATACTACTTATAAGTAGCTCGCACAACAACTGACATGACTCAATCCACTTGTCAATGACTTCATGGATTTGTGCCATGTTTTGGTCTGGCTATCCCTAGCTTTCTTCCAACCTACTCCTACACCACTGATGAAGTTTCGCCACTTCCTCTATTGATCTGCCATCCTTACCTAGTACTCGTTTCCTAACTGTAGCATTGCTTACTCGGTTGTCCCATGATATACAAGCAATGCTTCTTAAACATCTATGATCGAATACTAGTAACCTACGAACATCTACTCTTAGCTGTGCACTGTGATAAATGAATGTGAGAAGAGTTATTCGTGGAGATAATAGAGATATTAGAGGGTGCAAGAAGGATTTGATTTTAACCAATTTGGGCCCGTGTGCTCTTATGAGTATGAGGGCGGTTATCGATTCCCGGCTGCCCACACCGTGGAAGATTGCTTCTTGAAGAACCTGAAAGGTAATTTAGATTATTGTGGGTCTTAAAGACCTGGGTGCGTGACTGCAGGGCCCAAGAGACATCTGCTTGAGGCCGGTCACGCTCTTAATAGCCCTTACTGACGGAGACGGAAACCCGTGAGGTAGGGTGAGGTGTGACATTTTTACCGGTCGACCTTTTCTAACCCTTCCTTCCTTGTGAGAAGGCAGAATCGCTGCAGATGCTGGTTGTCCGAGGGAAATAGCCTACTGCTGTCACACTCCTCTGCAGTCAGCAATACGACTTCGCCCTCAGACCTTGGGTAGCTGCTTTTAGTGTCATCCTTCTCCAATCGACCTGCCTGGCATGGTAGAACCTTCAGAAACATAAGTTCCAGCCAGTATACCTCGGTTGGGTTATCACGATAGGCAAGCCCGGCCACCACATCAAGGTAGCAGCTTCGGTCAGGCCAATGGTGTTAGGGTCTAAATTTAATCAGTTGAAGGTATTATGAGTCAATCATTGTCAGACTATCCATTAGTGACGTGTAAGGATTGTTTAGTTGGCTGTTTCGTACCAGTATATGACTCATTAGCAGCACTGCGCATTCACGAACTGCTGCTCTTAAGATTTGAATCCAGGGCTTTTGGTCGCGTGTGTGAACGCTTAACCACTAGACAACTAAGCCTAGCATTCAACGGTGTTTGTGTCGAAGGTATTGCGTAACCTCACTCGTTATGTTCGGTAGGTAACTAACTGCCTACATCCGACAAGGTTGAACTCTAGTGTTCACGTCCTTCCACTAGAACTCTGAGAATTTCCTCACGAACCTAGTCAGAAGTGAGCACATTTTTTTCATGAATTTTCATTAACCAGTTATGGAATGTATTGGATTTCATTGAATTTACGAACTGATCATTTTTGTTCAACCATCTATTAGAAACTATAACTTGGACGAAACGGCCGTCCACTGCTTTCTGGCTCCTGATAGAGGTCTAACAATGATCGATATCTAATTTCAACTTATTTCTTTGTTTATTTCACTGCACACTCGATCATTCGTCCACACTTTGGAGTCCAGTTGTGAGCCAGACGGACAGATACAATGTAGAACTTCGTACATAAGTACATCAGTTCAGGTTGCCATACCACATCAACACAGAGACACGACTGTCAGTTCAAATCCAAGAGTGATAGAGATATTAGAATTATTAGCAGCAATGGAGAAGATTAGGGATCAAAGATATGATTCGAAAAGTATAATTCAGTGAGATGAAGTTAGAAAGAGAAAGATAGATATGAGGAGGAGGAATCCAGAAGGTTAGAATCAGAGTGAACACAAAGAATGGATGCACCTGTTGCGCCACTACAAATGATTCTGAGCCTTGTCGTTCAAGGTCTCTAACCATTCGTGACTTTCATCTCGCGGACCCCAACCAGACAGCCTACATCTACCAACATGACTCAGTAGTCCACTTGTCACTGAGTGACTTCATGCATTTCTGTCATATTTTGGTCTCAGTCAACTTAGCTGCTAAACCTCTTTACCGCTATCCTTAAATATCTCATGGGTCAGTCTATCAGGACCTACAACCCCTAAAACATCAATCCATTTTCCTAACAAACACACCCCAACTTCCAGTCTTGACTTGTTAATTTGATGATCGATCACAAGTAATAATAATAATCATAATCATAATGTTCAGTCATTCTGTAATTCATATTTTCTCTTAATTAATTAAAGGCTGACGAAATGATCACAACTTGATCAACATCCTCAATGTATGTCATCCGACCGATCAATAAATAATAAATGAATTTCATAAAAATATCACCAAATTTCAGATTAACAAAACAAGAAACAATAAAGTTTATTTACCTATTGTTCTCCTCCTTTTATTTTTTCTTTCTTTTAGGCACCCTTTTTTTTGTTTTGTTTTAAATGATCAACAGATTCTTTTCCTTGTTTTATTTAAACAAAAAAAGTGATCCAAAATAAGTCTTGTCTTATTGTAAAATTCTTTCATGCAATTGACTACTCTTCCAATTTTTTTTAACTCTGCATTGTTTTTATATATATATATATTCCATATATATAAAAGTCAGATTTATCAGTTTTTTTTTCATTGTGTAACTAACTCTGTTTTTTGTTTTTTATAGCAGCCAAAAAACTAGATTAATTTTTATGATGATGATGATGATGTGTGTGTGTGTGTGTGTGTGTGTAATAAACCTTTAATTCTGAATTCTTCAACACCTCTCTCTAGTTTTTTAACTTTCTAAACTTTTCTCATTGAATCATACTTCTTCAGTGATATCTTCTAATACCTTTACTACCTCTACTACTCTATTGGATTTGAATTGACAATTACATGTCTCTGTGTGTTCTAATGTGGTATGGCAACATGAACTGATGTACTTACGTACGAAGTTCTACGTTGCATCTGACTGACTGACTGACTGAAGAAAACTACAGTATATATACATGTTTACTTATTTACTTACTTACGCCTCTTACTAGCACCCCCCCACCCCACCCCGCAAAGTGAAGCATCAGCTCCGCTGACCAATACATTCTCCAATGCCACACTCACTCTATGGTGTCCTCCGATTTTCATTCATTCTTCTTCTCATTGTTTATATTATCTCCATTTCTTAGAGCCTACTGTTTTCTTTTTAATCTTTGAAGATTCCAACTTGTCTTATGTGTCCTGGTTTTTTGTTCCTTTCTGTCCACCTACAGATATTATTATGTTTCATATTTATGTATTACTATAATTATTATTAACTGATATTATTCAGTAAAAAAAAAGATTCATGTCATTTTAACTTCAAATCATATTCTGGAATAGAAGATTTCATGATATATTATACTCAGTGGTCGGTTTTTTTTCTCAGCAGGGTTCGAACTTGGGAATTATTAGTCAAGTGTTGATGAATCTTCTAATCATTGAGTTAGTAGTGCTCAACTAAAGCGGCGGTACTATGTACATGTATCCTTTAAGGGTATCCTGTTGTTATCTTATGAATTTACGGTGGCTAGGTTTCCAATGGTGGTCTAACAATGATTGATAATGATTTCAAATGTAGAACAACACAGCTATAAGCGAACAATAATGTTGTTGTTTTCGATTAGATCGTCATCAGGCTGCTTTACTCTCTCTAATATACATGAATATTTATATGAAAATTTTAAAACCAATCAAGGCAGTTTGAGTGATAAGCACAATACCGAAGGTCCTGGGTTCGAATCCTGCGGGGTGCAGGAGTCGTGGATTTTCACTGCTGAGGAGTCCCATATCAGGACGAAACGGAAGTCCAGTGCTTCCAGGTTTCTAATGGTGGTCTAACATTGATCGATTCATGGTTTCAAAAATGTGTAACTTAACAATCTTCACAACCCCGTAATGCAAATTACCTGTGCTCACTAGTGACTAGCTTCGTGAGGAATCTTCTCCGAGTTCTAGTGGGAAGACGTGACCAGTGAAGTTCAACCTGTTCGGGTGTAGACAGTAACTACCGAAGACTGTGTATGAGGTTGCGCAACTCCGTGAATATGATCAAGTTAGACATTAACACCGTTAGATACCGGCTCAGTGGTCTATCGGTTAGGGCGTTCGCGCACAATACCGAAGGTCCTGGGTTCGAATCCTGCGGGGTGCAGGAGTCGTGGATGCGCACTGCTGAGGAGTCCCATATCAGGACGAAACGGCCGTCCAGTGCTTCCAGGTTTCTAATGGTGGTCTAACATTGATCGATTCATGGTTTCAGAAATGAGCTAAGACAAAAGTAGAAGTGGATAGTTGGAAGGCAGAGGTGTACTGATAGTAGTAGGAAAATTTATAAAATATGATAACTAAAGTAGGTCAAATGTGGATGAATAGAATTCAAATAATCATCGAAAAACATCATTTCCCAACGGAGTTCGATCCTGTCTCCTACACATTGCAGAAGCCATAGGAATACGCACATTCAACCCTAATTTATGTGTTCAGAAGAAATTCGTGACACCCCTATCTCTTCCATGGCCGGATATGACGTAACTAACGATTGACATTATATATATTTTATTTATTTTAATTTTTTTATTTTTACACATCTGTTTATTACGTAATGTTTTTGATGATTATTTGAATTCTATTCATCCACCTTTGACCTACTTTAGTTTATAAATTTTCCTACTACTATCAGTACACCTCTGCCTTCCTACTATCCACTTCTACTTTTGTCTTAGTTCATTTCATTGTGATTATCACTCAAACTGCCTTGATTGGTTTTAAAATTTTCATATAAATATTCATGTATATTAGAGAGAGTGAAGCAGCCTGATGACGATCTAATCGAAAACAACACTATTGTTCGCTTATATGTGTTGTTCTAATTTTCACAATGGGAATCTTTAAGATTTCAAATGTGTAGAGAAAAGATTAAATTTGCAATCGATTTCAGTCTGAAAGCTAAACATGGTTAACTATTGATGGAATGTTAGTTAATTCTGGACATTAGAAATTATATTCCCCTCTCAGAAACAAAACCAGATGAAGACGACCCGCGTAGTAGCAGCAGCCTCTGCAGTGGTAGATCTCAACATACTCAAAAAAAGGCAAGATCCTTCGATACAACAACATAAGATGCACCTACCAGATCACATTTGATAGAAAAGTGTTACGCCTGCACGTAAACAGGTCAACTTAATATACTTGAACTATTACGAGTTTACCTAGTCGGAAACGACAGCGAGGATCCGGTGACACGACATGTTACTCAAATCCGATTATCCCAACCCTCATATTTAGTTAAAATAAGAAGACATGATATGAAGTAGAACCTGCATTCTACAAGCATCCAGAAAGTACGAGGTCCGAATCCAGAAGAGAATCAAGATCCCGGACTAGGGATCCGGGACCGAGCCCTGATCGTGGTCAATAAACGTTACAGATAATGCGTATTTATACATTTTTGTCGAATAGGAAACAGCATCGAATTCTGCGGCATTGACAGTTAAGAGGATCAATAGGAAGTAACATTTGAAGTGACATTGAAATTCAGGACAACCAATAAGAAACAACATTGAAGTATTTGACTTTGGTAGTTATAATGACCATAATTTTGACCAATAGAAACCGACCAATAGGAATTGACCAATAATTCTCTTAGGATATTGGATGAATATCCTAACAAAAAGCTTTGGAGAATATGGTGTCGGGGACGTTAGATGATCTGCAGAACTCACTTGGAAAAGTCGTATGTTTGTCATTTTATTCAGAAATTTTAAATTTCTATGTTTTCGAGCCAGCTGACCTTCAGCTTACATTTCTCACTCGGAAAATCCTTGAATGATGGATTATTTTAGTACGCTATTTTGTGGCTCTTCCAAGGATGTTGCTGTCATTGTATAAGTAGGCTGGATTCGTGTGCTTGTTGACCTCTTATTTCTGGGCGCTTGTAGAATACACTTTCTACGCCATATCAAGACTTTTCGATATCGTTAGCAGGACCGGGGACAATCGAATCAGATTAACTTATCTTGTCACTGTATAATTTGTCTTCTCTCTCGTTTACCGACTAAGGTGATCTCGTAATAGTTTTGAGCATATCAGTTGGCGAGCACAACAGCAAGTCAAAACCTGTAAAATCCCACCAGCAATACAGATACTAACATTCCATTGACCAGTACTCGGAAACGATTAGTTTTGGTTCGAATATTTCGGTGATAACATCTCAGAATGTGAAGCCTAGCGACGTGGTTCCGAATTCTATAGTCAATATCAAGTCTGTAATACGAAACTCCAGGTTCTTCTGTTGACCACCGCATACTAATATACTGTCATCATAACAGAACTACAGCCTGGGAATTAGAAACTTACGTTGCTATTTTTCAGACTACTATTATTTATATCTTTACTATATAGTAGGCAGATAACTTTGTTGTGACATTTTTCTCGTCTCTTTACGTTAAGCTTTGAGCAAAACAACTGACTGTCGTTATACGTGTCTAGTATTTTCTAATTATTGTTGTTGATGTGCCGTTTTACTTCACTCTCTACCACTTACAACTTGTGCGGTCCAACATTTCAACATATTATTATGTAAGCTGTGAGTCATGATCGAAAAAAATCAGCATCTCCTATCATCTTTTGATTGACGGACTGGGCCAATAGAGCCTAGATAGCTAATAAAAACATTAAGGTGTCGGTTCTTATTCATTGGGTCAGTATACCATTCCGCGAAATCACTCATTGCAACGACTGGAAATGTAGTATATGATTTTGTGGTCAGTAGTCTCAAGCAATTCGCCCAAAATATTATAAAATAAGAACTGTTAAGCACAAAATCTCCTGCGTTTTGTCAATTTGCATGTGTTGTGATACGAACAATCCTGTTTTGAATAACGTACATTGTCAGTTTATGAGATGTTTGAAATCAGTGATTATTGGTGAAAAAAAAACAGCAAGTTTTCAAAAGTATAAACTTTAAAATCATATATGACGACAACACACACGCACGTTAAGTTACACGTGTTCTCATTTTAGCAAAGAGAAATACCGTCGCACTACAAATTACAACACACACAAACATTGATTCACTGATGCAATGCTATAAAGCAGCAATCTTCAATAAGTATTTACAGTTCGTAGTACAATATTATCAATCATAAACCTTTTTGATATGTTCGTCAATCGATAATACTTGAATGTTATTACGAGTTCACCTTACTCCAGTAAACGGAACGAAGATCAACAATACAGTGACACAAAAGGCTATTCTAATCCGTTCGTCCGAGCCCCGGCTAACTAGATCAAGAAGTCTTGATAAGGCGTAGAGAATGTATTCTATAGGTACCCAGGAAATACGAAGTTGTTAAGCAGTCAAACTCAAACTTATTTATACAATGATAGAAACGCACTTGTTGAGAGCCACGAAATAGCGTACTAGAATAATCCATCAGTCAAGGATTTACTGAGTGGAAAATGTAAGCTGACGGTCAACTAAGCGTCTTGAGCGCGAAAACATAGAAATTCAAAAATCCAGAAATCAACTACAAAATTAGGACCTTTTACAAGTTAGTTCTGGGGATCAAATGTCCTCAGTACTTTTTCCCTTGTTTACCGCGTAGACCCATCAAATTACTAGGAATATTTTTCGTTATGGAGATTGTTGTATATTACTGAAACCATGAATCAACCATTGTTGGACCGTCCTTAGAAACCTGCAAGCACTGAACAGCCGTTTCGTTCTATCATGGGACTCATCAGCAGTACACACCCGCGACTTGCAGGATTCGAATCCAGGACCTTCGGTATCGCGCACACGAGCGCCAAAACCTCTGAACTGGCCGACATCTGACTCTGAAATCCATGAAGTCATTGACGAGTGGACTTAGCCACGTCGGTAGATGTCGACTACTTGGTTGGGGTCCGCGAGATGTTGGTAATCGATGGTTAGAGACCCTGAATGACATGGCTCAAAACCGTTTGCAATGGCGCCGGTGCATTTATTCTTTGTGTTCTCTCAAATCCTAATATTCTGGATTCTTCAACCCCTCTAATTTCGTGTTTGTTAACTTTTCTCACTGAATCATCATACTTCTTGAATAATATCTTCTAATCCTAACCTCTCCGATAACTTTTAATACCTTTACTACCTCTACTACTACTATTGGATTTGAATTGAGAATTATATCTCTGTGCTGATGTGTAGTATGGCAACATGAACTGATGTGCTTACGTACGAAGTTCTACGTTGCATCTAGCTGACTCTGACTGATCGATCTAGCAATTTTGTGCGACCTCACTCGTTTGTCTTCGACAATTACCGCCTACAACACTCGACAGGAGTGAACTCCACTATCATTATTGTTATTATTTATAATCAGAAGAAAAACGAAAAAAGCATGAGAATAAAAAATTTCCATTTGATACTTTTTGCATTTCAATCTATCTTCATGTGCGTATTGATGCACCGTAACAACCAAACAGATGCGCACACACACGCACACTTTGTGCATGAGGGGAAGTAAAAAAATCTTCTTTAGAAGAAAAACAGTAAGAAGAATAAGAAGAAGACGAACATATATTGTCCCCTAAGTTATGTGACTGCACAAAAAAGTACGTCAAAGTGAATAATGTCAAGTGTGTCTGTGTGTGTGCGTGTGTGTGTACGTATGTATGTATGTGTACTACAAATATTCAAATTATTTTTTGAGTACATCAAGCCACTATGAGAAACTAATTAAAAGTTGTCATAACCGACAATTAGTAGAGTGAAAACTATGAAGAACTGGGGACTGGAAAAGTAAGCCATTGAGTAAGTAGGATGATTACAAGAAACACACCGGCACACACACACCGATTGAAAGTATCCACAAGTTGTGTTTGTTGTTGCACGTACTGAAGAAATAGGATTGTGCGAAAAAATAAAATCTAAACAGAGAGAGGCAAGAGTACAAAGGCAACAGAAGTTTATCCACAGAGTGTACACATTAAATTATTATTATTATTATTAGTAGTAGTAGTGTAGTAAAGGAGAACACAGATGAGGGCAACCGAAATTGTATTTATCGCAAATTACATAGTTACTCAGTAAAATAGGAAAAACCATATCGTAAACGGTTAATTTGCAAATCTTCAATCCATCATCAATCCATTGTCTGACATTTCACTCACTATTCATGCGTTTCATACACAAATTCCATTGTGTTCCCCCCACTCTTCCTTTCTTGTTGATCTCCCCCCCCCCATCTTCTGCTGCCAGACATTACGTTTTTTTACTCGCGTCATATACTACTTATATAAGTAGCGCGCACCACAGTAGTAGTATGCATTTTTATGCAAAAAATAAAAGCAATCAATCAATCTTGGACAATCATTGTCAAAAGTCAAAAACACACCAGTTAACTAATCTCCATTCCCTAAGTATCATCACTAGCCCAAGGGAATAACACAAATTCAATGTACATTAGTCATAAAACACAAAACACAAAGAGTGTAAAGAAGTAGTGTACAAAGATGTGAAAATAAGAATTACAATGAAGTACAATAAAACTATGTGTGGATATTATTATTTTAAATTATTATTTGTACCCTGTTTAGCCCGTAAATGAAAAAAAAACTGTCACTACAGTTCCGGTGCACATGCGTCTGTCTGTAAGATGATGTTACACTGGCTAAGAGAGAGAGACTGACTAACAGCACGTTGTACCCGCGCGCGCTCGACAACGGCAAGAAGGCACAAATTACTGCGACTACATCATCATCACAAATCATCATCATCGATAGTGTTAGAATAAAAATGAAAATCATAGATTTTACACACACACACACGCAGGACCGGATGATAACGGAAGCATCAATAATGAAGAACTAACGGTACAAAGAAAAGTCAGCAAGGAGAGACGACCGTGTATTAGTGTGTGTATAATGGAGTTTTCAAAATAATGATTCAATTACAATTTAGGAGGCGCTTATTAATGAAATGAATTTCACAGCATCAAGATTAAATGAAATGATCTGGTGTGCATGATTCACACACACACACACACACGGAGACAGAGAGAGAGAGTGTGTGTGTGTGTGTTGAGAGAGAGAGAGACAATGAAGCAATGAACAGTAGTAGTACAACAAATGTCACTCATCAAAACAAAAAAAATATTATGACTATAAAAAACGACAACGGCCCAACCGCGCGTCCACCCGCCCGCCTGCCAGCCAGCTCATCCCATGATGGAATTTAATCAATTCGTTCCACCTTGGCAACAATTTTACCTTCCCATAATGGTAAAATAGTATCTTCATTGGTGATCTCCTGGTGGACTACACCGGAATCGAATTCATCCGATGCTTTTTTGAAAAAGTATCTGTTAAAAATGAAGAAAAAACTTTTGATGTGAAACACCGGATAAACAATGAAAAATAATCAGAAACAATGGTATGTGACTATGTAAAATAGTTTTATCACAGTATAAAAAAGAGAGTTTCATTGAAATCATGAAACGATCAGTCGGGTGGTTGTCAATTCCCGGCTGCCCACACCGTGGAAGGTTGTTTCTTGAGGGACTTGACAAGGAAGATAAATTAGTGTTGGTCTTGAAAAAATGGATGCGTGACCACAGAGTCCAAGGGACAACTGCTTGAGGCCGGTCACACACGGCCTTTTTATGAAAGGTATTCTGAGGACTAGCTCCGTTCTTAAAGGCCCTTAGTAGGCACCCTTACCCAAGGAGACGGAAATCCATGAGGTAGGGTGAGGTGTGACATTGTTAGGGTCGACCTTTTCTAACCCTTCCTTCCTTGTGAGAAGGCAGCATCGCTGCAGATGCTGCTTGTTTTCCGAGGGAAACACCTTACTGCTGTCACACCCCTCCACGGTCAGTCCGCAGTACGACTTCGGCCTCAGACCTTGGGTAGCTGCTTTTAGTCGTCTCATCGTTCTCCAATCGACCTGCGTGGCATGGTAGAACCTTCAGGAACATATGTTCCAGCCAGTATAGCTCGGTTGGGTCATCACGATAGGCAAGCCCGACCACCACGTCAAGGTAGCAGCTACGGTCGGGATGAAACGATCAATGTTAGATCACGATTGAAAAGTCAGAAAGCACTGGATGACAGATGTGTTTGAGACTATGGGAGTCATCAGCAATGCACATCCATGATCCCATGGGAAGGAATTGAACCGACGAACTTCGGTCTCGTGTACGAACGTTAAACCTTTAAATCACTGAGTCGGTCGTAACATGTAATCTAGCATTCTCAGTCAGTCAGTCAGTCAGTCAGTCAGTTACAACATAGAACTTCGTACGTACTTACGTAAGTTCATGTTGCCATACAACATTAGCACAGAGACGCAATTGTCAATACAAATGCAATTGTGGCAGAGGTAGCAGAAGTATTAGAGATTATTGAGAAGATTACGGCTCGAAGATTGTAAACAAGGTATATTTTTACAATCTTGAAGATACTAATACTCGTCAAACAGTATGAAATCTAGGATGTAAAGATTTTTCATAATCAAACTGTAATCTTGACAATGTGCACAGGATGGCACTACTATAATACGGAGACTTCTTCAACACTACAATGTTGCACCTGAGAACATGACCAGCATCATACGGAATTCTTATGATGGACTACACTACAAATTCATGCATAAAAGGGCAGCTCACAAACACATCCCAAGTAAAAACCGATGCCAAGCAAAGTTGCTTACTCTAACCCTTTCTCGTTATTCTGGTAGTTGACTGGATGATTATGAAGACTTCAGCATCTCAGGGAGAGCACAGAAAACAGTGAACAGCTCGGATGCAGTTGGACGATCAGGACTTGGCAGATGATTTAACTCTTCTATCCCACACAGAACAACAAAATCAGGAGAAGATGGCCAGTGGGTGTAGCAGTAGCAGAAGCCTCTGCAATAGTAATCCTCAGCATAAACAAGGGAAAGACCAAGATCCTCCGTTAAGACAGTCCTATTATATGAAGCGGAATCGAGGAGAACCACGAAAAACATCATCAAAAATATACAGGTGTTTATCAACAGATAATCCAGATCCGTTAGCCAGATACCATTAGAAACAACTTACTATGGCACAGACAAAAAACCAGATTCCAGATGAAGAAGGCATTAAGAAGAAGCACTGGAAGTGCATAGGACGGACACAGTGAGCAGCAAAGCACCCAACTGCATCACAACACAAGCTCTCAATTTTAACCCTCAAAGCCAAAGGAGAAGACGAAGCACCAAAGAACGCATCACACCGAGAATTGGAAGTGGACATGAAAAGAATGAGCAGCAAATGAATAGAATTGGAAAGGTAGGCCCAAGACAGAGTAGGCCACAACCTACTGTGATAAAGAACATAGCAGATTCCAGCTGAGGAAAAAAATCAGAATAACACGCTCGAGGTGGATAGGACATGTACATTGATTGAGGAAAGCACCTAACTGAGTCGAGGTTAATCGACAAGAGGAACTACCTGTTAGTGGGACATAGATGGATTCAAAGCATGATTACGTCACTGCGCGCTGATTGGCTAATTTCCTACCCAATCAGCGCCTGATCGAAGCTTGGAGAACAGGATAGAAAATTCTCGTCTTATTAGCTGCATGCTGATCGGTCAAATCCAGTCCAGTCGATCACGTGAATTTTGTTCCAGAAGTTTTCTCATGTAAAGGCTATAAATAGACTAGCATTGTATTTATCTTCGCCTTCTAGCCTTCTTGCCTTCTTCGCTTTCAAGCCTTTTTGCCTTGGCTTTCGCCATCACCTCCAGCTTCTTTTCCTTGCTATTTTGGAATACAATCCTTCCTGTTCAACCGTGTTCTGATTTGTGTTACTTGTCCAGTGTTTTGTGTCAAGAATACTAAGCAATAAGATTTAGCCGGGAAATATCGTAAGCAACCGTTACAACACTACCAAAGAACACAATACACCGAGAATCGGAAGTAGACATGATAAGAATGAGCAGCAAATGAATAGAATTGGAAAGGTAGGCCCAAGACAGAGTAGGCTCACAAGAAGACTGTTCGGTGGGGTTATACTCCGCATGGAGGTGACAAGCATAAGTAAGTAAGTAACTGTAATCTTGAATCAATCACTGAATTACATGTATAGCAGCAGCAGAAGCCTTTGAAGTAGTACTCCTCAACATAAACAAAGGGAAAAACCAAGATCGTTCGTCATGACTATTCGAATTTATGGAGCGGGAAATCGAAGAATCACAAAAGCCATCATCCAAAAGATACAGGCGTTAGTTAATAGATGTCTATACAAGATATCACAGATCTGTTGACCACACATCATTAGCCATAACCTACTGTGGTACAAAACATACCAGATTCCAGCTGAGGAAAAAAATCAGAATAACACGCTCGAGGTGGTGGATAGGACATATACATTGATTGAGGAAAGCACCTAACTGAGTCAAGGTCAACCGACAAGAGGAACTACCAAAGAACACATTATACCGAAAATTGGAAGTAGACATGAAAAGGAATAAGCAGCAAATGAATAGAATTGGAAAGGTAGGCTCACAAGAAGACTGGTCAGTGGGCTTATACTCCGCATCGAGGTGACAAGCATAAGTAAGTAAGTAACTGCAATCTTGAATTAATCACTGAACTTACCGGAATAAACCTTTTTTCTTTGGTATTAATTGTTTAAATTGACCAAGTGTAATTTCTGTTGATGGCCATAAACTTCGATAAGGTACCGGATCATCACCCATATAATAACCGATAACAAGTGAATTCGATGCCGTGCATACAGCTGGTGTAGAATTTGAAGTTGTTGTTGTCGTTGAAATTGTTGAAGAATGCGTTGAATGCGATGTAGTGTTTGTTGTGGTAACAATAGAAGTTTGATGATGTTGATCAGTGGTGGTACGGCTAGTTGTGTTGGAAGCAGTAGTGGTAGTCGTAGTCGTTGTAGTGGTCGTCGCGGTGGTACAACTAGCGCTACTACTACTACCGCTACTACCACTATTACTATTACTACTACTACTAACGCTACTATGAGTAATATTTATTGGACTATTCTCTGTTTGATATGTAACATCATCAGCATCATCATGTTGTTGCTGTTGTTGTGTTGCGATTGTGGTATGATCATCATTGTTGATCGGTATAATCGTCTTGATTAAATGCTCTTCTGTACAATGTGTGCGTGACTGATTCACTGATGAGGATAATTGATAGGGATTAGTTGATTGAGAAAATGTTTTAAACCATGGTGGAACAATTAGAGGCAATGATTTTGTAACAACAGATGAATCGATTGTACTGTTGTAAAGACATGAAAAAGAAAACGAGAAATAAATCGATTGTAACATTCACATTGCTAAATAATATTAAAACAAACTTTCTTTTGTAGTGCCCCGACCGTAGCTGCGACCTTAGATGTGGTGTTGGTCGGGATCGTCTATCGTGATGACCCAACCGAGCTATATTAGTTGGGACATATATTCCTGTAGGTTCTATTATGCCAGGCGCAGGTCGATTGGAGACTCGAGGTCTGAGGGCGAAGCCGTACTGCTGACTGCAAAGGATGTGACAGCATTTCCCTCGGAAAACCAGCTTCTTCAGCGATACTGCCTTATCTCCATTACTGTTAATACTACTATTATCGCTACCACTATTGGATTTGAACTGACAGTTGCGTCTCTGTGCTAATGCGGTATGGCAACCTGAACTGACGTACATCCACGTACGACGTCCTGAGTTGTATCTGTCTGTCTGTTTATCTTTCGTAGTGCCCGCAACATACATTAGAGTTCGCTTATACTTAATAATTTGGTTATGCCTTTCGATTAACTTATAGTTAACCAAGCCATTGACATAGCAACAACTTGTATGTGTACTACTGGTTTTTAGTATTATTCTCTGGTTTGTATGAGCTGGTACGATTGAGCATTGCTTACTGCCGCATATGTGAATATTCATCCTATTAGCTTTAATGTTGTTAATCTCTTAAATACCTCGATGACTCTGATATCTTCCTATGTATGAACATTTGAATCTTATTAATACATTCACCAATTCGCCAACTCGCTTCCCCTTCTCTGTGTGTTTGTGGTCTGCTGGTTCATTTTGTGGTGTGTCAAAAAATAAACGTATTCAAAATTTTGTGTTCACCTTCTGATTGATAATCGTTAGGAGCTATTTGATGACGATTGCCTACAACCTAGCTCTACAGCACAAAGCAGTCGGTGGTTAAGCATACGTAAAACACGTCCCAACCACTTCAATTTCTACTTACCCAACCGTAGCTGCTCCCACCTTGACGTAGTAATCGGGTCTGTCCATTGTGATCATTCAACCGAGCTATTTTGGCTGGAATATGTTTCTGTAGGTTCTACCATACCAGGCACGTCGATTAGAGAACAATGAAACTAAAAGCAGTCACCCGAGTTCTGAGGCGGACGTCTTACTGCTGACTGTAGAAGGATGTGTTACGCCTGCACGTGAACACGTCAACTTGATATACTTGAACTACTACGAGTTTACCCCTTGGTCGGAAAACGAGAGCGAGGATCCGGCGACTCAACATGCTACTCGAATCCGATTATTAAAACCCCCATATTTAGTAAAAATAAGAAGACTTGAATATGGAGTAGAACTTGTATTCTACAAGCGTCCAGATTGTACGAGGTCCGAGTCCAGAAGGGAACCAGGATTTCAGACTAGGGATCCGGGACCTGGTCCTGGTCATAAAAAGTTACAGATAATGCGTATTTATACATTTCGGTCGAACAGGAAACAACATCGAATTCCGTGACATTGACAGTTAAGAAGACCAATAGGAAGTAACATTTGAAGTGACATTGACAGTCCGGATGACCAATCAGAGAAAACATTGGAGTACGTGACACTGATATCTAGGACGGACATAAAATTGACCAGTAGGAATTAACCAATAATTCTCTTAGGATATTGGATGAATATCCTAACAGGATGTAACAGCAGTAAGGTATTTCCCTCGGAAAACCAGCATCTGTAGCGACGCTGTCTTCTCACAGGGAAGAGATGGGTTATAAAAGGTCGACCCTAAAAATGTCACACTTCACCACCTTACCCCAAGGATTTCCGTCTCCGGCGATAAGAATGGATGCACCTGCACCATTGTAAACGATTTCAAGCGACCATATCATTCAAGGCCTCTCTAACCATCGATTACACGTACATACATATTGACAATGCATAAAACTAGAACACCACACATTTACAAACACACAAAATCATATTTAAAAAAATGAACAAACAAACGGACTATATTATTTATTTACCTGGTGTTAGATTGATGAGGATGTTGATGTTGATGATATGATTCTCTGGTTTGATTATTATTATTATTGTTATCTTGATAACATGAAGATCCAGATTGAAGTGTTGATTGTTGATCACGTATTTGATGTTGTTGTGATGATGATGATGATTGCATCATTGGATGATTACAATGTGACCAATGTTTGATTTCATCATGTTGATAAGTATTCACACAAGGCGATGATATAAATGCATTAGTACACTCGTTTAAATTGGAACCAAAATTTCTTTGCAATAACATCTCATCATCAACATCATCATCTTCATCACGAGGATGATGATGATGATGATGACCACCGCTTCCACTGCCATCACCTCCACTGCCTACATCACCACCTCCACTGCTACTTGGAGTACGATCAGCCGAGGCAGCCCATATTCTTGAACAATGATCCTCTAGAATAGCCTAAAATTATATTAAAAAATTAATAGTACTAATAAAACATACTGTAATTTATGAGTGGAAATTCAATCTACAGCAGCTATAATGACCACAAGATAGGCATGAATGAATTTCGCGCCAAAACTATTTATCTTGAATCTGATTGGTTCGTCAATGAATTACAAATGCACCAATAAAATTGCAATAAATCCAACGAGTATTATCTTATCAATCACATAGAATTTATGCACCAGCCAAATCATACTTGACAGTGAAGCTTTAAAAGATGTAAAAACCTTCACTAATCTGGACAGTGAGATTGATATGCACAATGAATGTGATGTGGATCAGATGTGAAGGCGCAGATCGGCAAAGAAAGGATAATATTTCTACAACTGAAGAACATCTGGAACTCAAAACAACTTTCGACAAACAGCTAAGTCAGAATTTTCAATATAAATCCCTAGATAGTTCTATTGTATAGAGCGGAAACTTGGAGATCTACGAAAGCCATCATCAGCCAAAAGTTACAAGTATTTATTAATAGTTGTCAAGACGCTGCAGATCCGTTGGCCAGACACTATCAACAATAACCTACTGTGAGAGAGAACAAACCAGATTCCAGTGGAGGAAAAAATCAGGTAGAAGCGCTGTAAGTGAAAAGAAGGACAAAAAATGAGGAAAGCACCAAATTGCGTCACAAGACAAGATTTCACCTGGAAGGCGAAAACTTTACTTTTTTAATATTCCTGCTAGTAATAATAGTAGTATTCCATATACTATATGTTTGATGACAGTAAAGAAAAGATTTCACAATAGGATATGCAATGACTTGGGTCATTAAGTAATCACTGTTGGAAGCACTAGACGACTGTTTAGTCCTGGTATGAGACTCTTCAGCATTGTACATCCACAACTCCTGATACTTGCAAGATTCGAACATAGGATCTTCAGTCTTGAGCGAGAACGCTTAACTTCTAGACCGCTGGGTCAGCCAGCATCCAATAATGTTAATGCCGAACTTTGATTGATGTGCACACTAGTGACTAGCTTCATGAGGAAATTCTTGGAGTTCTATTGAGAAGACGTAACCAGTGGAGTTCAACCCTGTCGGGTGTAGACAATAAATACGGAAGGCAAATAATACGTGGTCCAAAGGTGTTAGTGGGACATAGATGGAATTTAAAACATGACTACGTTGCTACGCGCTGATTGGCTAATTTCCTACCCAATCAGCGCCTGATCGAATCTTGGAGAACAGGGTAGAAGATTCTCGTATTGTTAGCTGCGTGCTGATTGGTTAAATCTAATCCAGTCAATCACGTGAATTTCTATCCAGAAGCTTTCTCATGTAAATGCTATAAATAGACTAACGTTGTATCTATCTATTTTTAGCCTTCGCCTTCGCCATCACCTTTGGCTTCTTATTTTCATTTAACCTTGCTATTTGGAATATAATCTTTTCCTGTTCAACTGTGTTTTTTGATTCTTGGGAACTTGTCCAGTGTATTGTGGTCAGAGAATACTAAGCAATAGGATTTAGCTGGGAATTATCTAAGCAAGCGTTACAACAAAAGGTTAGGCCTTGATGTGCGAGACCGTAAGTCCTGCGTTCGAATCCTGTAAGTAACAGCAAACGTAAATGCTTACTACTGATGAGTCTCATAGTGAGATGCAACGCTAAACCAATACTTCTAGATTTCTAATAGTAGTGGTGATCTAACAATGATTCATTCATAAATAATTTCAAAGTAAATCTACCATTTTTCATAATACTCTATCTAACTTTTGCAAACCCTTGAAACTATTAAAAGAATTGTCTGATTGCATGAATATACACTCTCAAGTACAATCAAGTACTTGAAAAAAAATTCCATCAGTAAAATAAATGTATCACATGTTCAAAAAGGAAAAAAAACTATTTTTGACTAATTTTTTTTCGAAAAAAATAATAAAAATAAGATAAAAAAGTTAATTTGTTTTCTTAATCGAAATTCTCGAAAAAAAATTTTAAACCGAAATATGAATGAAATTTTTTTTATCACAACCTCACTGATGGAAAAGGCAGCGGCGATCGGCAACAGTAGACAACTTTTCCGACTTATCAAGGAAACTGGTATTAGGAATCCTAGTGTAAGTGAGACTATCTCAGAAAATGACGGGACTATTATTTATTCTCAATCCAGGAGACTGGATCGATGGGGAGAACACTTTAAGGATCAGTTCAACTGGCCTCGAGCCACTCTTCGGTTACCCACGATTTCCAGTCATCCTGAATGGCAAATCGATTTAAGTCCTCCCAGTTTACATGAAGTTGAGAAAGCTAAAGGAAATCTAAGAGGAGGTAGAGCGGTAGGTCCCGATAGGCTTACCCCTGAGATATTTAAGGATGGTGGTCCAGTTTTAGCAACTAGGTTGACTGAGATCTTAGGTAGAATCTGGGATCTGTGGATCGTGAGGTTCTGCGGCAGTGTCTGTCATTGAAAGGTGTACCAAAGAAGTACATTAACCTTATACAAGCACTCTACTCGAACACCACTGGTCGAGTGAGAGCTTATGGAAGAATGTCACCGGTATTCTTTACTTCAAGTGGTGTCCGTCAGGGATGTCCACTTTCTCCATTCTTGTTTAATTTTATCATAGACATGCTCCTAGACATAACCTTATCCCCGTCCGAATTTTCTGGAGTAGACATTCTACCAGTAGGATCGCTTATCGACTTAGAATATGCCAATGACATAGTCCTACTTGGTGAAGACGCTGACAAAATACAGAGTCTTCTGACCACCCTAAGCAACATTGCAAGCATGTTCGGGATGCGGTTTTCCCCCTCGAAATGCAAAATGTTGCTTCAAGATTCGGTTTCATCGGAACCTGAACTAGTGATAGGGAGTGAAGTAGTCGAACGTGTAGACCGCTTCACTTATCTTGGGAGTCTCATCAGTGCCGATGGCCTGGTGACTGACGAAATCTCAGCTCCGATACATACAGAAAGCTCGATTGGCTTTTGCCAACCTGTGTCACTTATGGCGCAGGCGAGATATCCGCTCGCTAACCAGCAGTTCGCTCGGTCCTACTAGTACGGATGCGAGACTTGGTCGTTGAGAGTAGAGGACTTCCGTAGGTTATTAGTTTTTGATCATCGGTGTCTCCGAAGCATTGCTCGTGTATCATGGGACAACCGTTCAAGCAATGCTGTCGTTAAGAAACGAGTACTAGGTAAGGATGGCAAATCAATAGATGAATTAGTGAAACTTCATCAGTTGAGGTGGTTAGGACATGTGTTGCGTATGCCTAACCACCGACTGCCTCGACGAGATATGTTTTGCAGTGTGGGAGTAGATTGGAAGAAACAAACCCATGAAGTCACTGACAAGTGGACTGAGTCATGTTGGTAGATGTAGGCTATCTGGTTGGGGTCCGAGAGACGAAAGTTACCGATGGTTAGAGACCTTGAATGACATGGCTCAGAATCATTTGCAATGACTCAACAGGTGCATCCACTCTTTGTGTTTTATGAAATTCTAACCTTCTGCATTCCTCATAATCTCTATCTTTCTCTTTCTAAATTAATCTCACTGAATTATACTTTTCGAATCATATCTTCGCTCCCAAATCTTCTCCATTACTGCTAATAATTGTACTATTGTTATCACTCTTGGATTTGAACTGACAGTTGTTACGTCTCTGTGCTGATGAGACATGGCAACATGAACTGATGTACTTACGTAAGAAGTTCTGTGTTGTATCTGTCTGTCTGTCTGTCTATCGATACATTCATATTAAAAAGGTGTAGAAGGTGTAGTAGTACCTGGTGGTTGGAGTTCACGTGTTTATTGTAAGTAAACGTCGAAAGAATTTGTAAGTGATTTAGTTGAGAATTAGTCGGATTGATGCGAATGCATTCAGTTCTTGTCCAAGAGTTTAGAACGTGAATCTCGAAACTAACGTAGACCTCGTTTACTTTTCTATTACAGTACTTCTGTTATCTTGATATGATAGTATGGTCAAGCTGAACCAATATACGTTCGAACACTAGCATGAAGTCAACTAGTTAGCAACAACGTAGAACTTTGTACCCCCTACGTACATCAGTTCAAGCTGCCATACCACACATTAGCACAGAAATGCAACTGTCAATTCAAAGGTAGTAGAAGTATTAGTGGTAATGGAGAAGATTAGGGTTCGAAGGAATTATTCGAAGAGTATAGTTCAGTAAGATAAATTTACATACATACTTAGCTTAGTCTCGTGTGCTGTTACGAGTATGAGGGCGGATGTCACTTTCCCGGCTGCCCACACCATGGAAGGGTGTTTTTTGAGGAATTTGAAAAGGAAGGTAGATTAGTGTTAGTCTCATAGACTTGGAAGCGTGGCCGAAGAGCCTAACGGACAACTGCTTGAGGTCGGTCAAGCACGGCCATTTTATGAGTTTTTAAAGTATTAGCTCCGTTCTTTTTAAAAGGTCTTACCACCGGAGACGGAAATCTGTGAGGTAAGGTGAGATGTGACATTTTTAGGGTTGACCTTTTCTGAACCCTTCCTTCCTTATCAGAAGGCAGCATTGCTGCAGATGCTGGTTGTTTGAGATAAAAAACCTTACTGCTGTCACACCCCTCTACAGTCAGAAGTACGACCTTCAGTTGCTGCTTTTAGTCTCACCGTTCTCCGATCGATCCGCCCAGCATGGTAGAACCTTCAGTAACATACGTTCCAGCCAATATAGCTCAAATGAGTCATCACGACAGGCAAGCCTGACCAACACCACGTCAAGGTGACAGCAGCTACGATCGGCACATCAGAAAGAAAAAACAATATTTTACTCTAACAACATCAACCAGTACTACTACTAAACTAACCTGAGCATTTTCACGTGTATTTTCATGTTGAACACGAGCAGCAGCCAATAATTTATCAGCCCATGGACGTTGAAGTACTGAAGGAGTAGTAGTAGTAGCAGTAGTAGTAGTAACAGCATTTGTAGCAGTCGCAGTTGTCATAGTGGTCGTAGGAACAGTAACAATTGACGTAACATTACTACTAACAATCGATGGTGTTGGTTGACTAATAGGTAAATGAGTAGTAGTAGTAGTAGTAGTATTAGTAGTATTTGTCATAGTAGAATAAGGATTTGTTGTTGTACATATAACAAGATGATTAGTTGATGTTTTGCTCATATTAAATGTATCATTTTTATTTGTAATTATGACATCATTGGATTCATCAATTGGTTCTTGAGTTTCTTGAATATTTGGACTAGTCTAATTAGTTTGTAAAGAAAATGAAAGATTTAAAAAAAACAGATGATCGTTTTTTTCCGATTAATATAAGCAAGAAACTTAATCAACTTGTATCTCCCTGTCTCTCTCCTTACCATAATTGTTCAAATGCCCTAGTACAACAACATTTGAGAAGAGTGAAGAAATGTTCACTCGCCATCTTTTCGAATACTCTCTATATGACCATGTATGTACAGCCCTAACTAGATGTCGACTACCTGGTTGCGACCCACGAAATGATAGTCAGTCAGTCAGTTGCAACGTACGTATGTACATAAGTTCAGGTTGCAATACCACATTCGCATGAAGACGCAAATGTCAAATCAAATCCCATAGTGATAGTAGAAATAGTAGAGGTATTAATGGTAATGAAGAAGACTAGAGGGTTTGAAGATATTATTCAAGAAGTATAGTTCAGCGGGATAAGGTTAGAAAGACAAAGGCAGAGGTGTTGACGAATCCAGAAGATTAGGATTTGAGAGAGCACAATGAATGGATGCACTTGCGCCATTGCAAAAGATTTTGATCCATGTCGTTCAAGGTCTCTAACCAATGGTGACTTTCGTCTCGCGGACGAAATGATAGTAGTAATCGATGGTTAGAGATCCTGAATGAATGACACGGCTCAAAACCGTTTGCAACAGGTGCATCCATTCTTTGTGTTCTCTCAAATTCTAATCTTCTGAATTCATCATCACCTTTATATTTCTCTATTTAAGTTTATTTCACTAGATTCTACTTCTGGAATGATATATATTTGATCCTTAATCTTCTTGAATACCGCTAATATTTCTACTACCTCTACTATTATAGGATTTGAACTGACAGTTCTATCTCTCTGTGTGTGCTAATGTGGTATGAAAACTTGTGACAATGGCGCCTGTGTGCTAATGTGGTATGACAACCTGAACTGATTCACGTATGTACGAAGTTCTGTGTTATTGTTGACTGATTGACTGATATATAGCCATTGGCAGTGAAGTCCTACTCACTGCTTTCTTATAGAACGGGTGTGAGTTGCTTACGAAATGGACAGAACGTAAAGTGAATGTTCCGCCCAAGCTTAAATCGGATTAATTGATACGGAGAATCCATCTAAAGGAGTTGTGAAACCCTAACTTCATCAAACCAATGGTTCACATAAACTCCAGTAACCTGAAAGAACATACAGTGTATGATGATGCTTCGTTGACCAAACCAAAGCACGGCAAAATCCATGAAGTCACTAACAAGTGGACTACTGAGTCATGTTGGTAGATGTAGACTACTTGGTTGCGGTCCGCGAGACCTTCTGAATTCCTCATCACCTCTATCTTTCTCATTCTAAATTTATCTCACTCAATTATAGTTCTCGAATCATATCTTCGCTCCCTAATGGTCTCCATTACTGCTAATACTTCTATTATTGCTATCACTCTTGGATTTGAACTGACAGTTGCGTCTGATGAAGTGCTTCATCAATTGATTTGCCATCCTTACCTAAGACGCGGTTTCTAACAACAACAGTGCTTACTCGGTGGTCCCACGATATACGAGCATTGCTTTGAAGACATCGATGATCAAATAATAGTAACCTTTAAATATCCTCTATTCTTAGTGGTCATGTTTCATGCTAGTATATTACTGCTGCGCAGTAAACCTATCCTTTGGTTAGTAGACGGTTATCTAGTCTATGCAACAAGTTAGCAAACCTGCGTGCCGCGATTTCACCACACACCAAAACCATTAACAGTGATCAGACCTCCAAGATAAGTGAAGCGGTCAACACGCTCAACAAATTTCACTGCCTATCACTAGTTTATATGCTGATACAAGCCAATCCCTTAAAGCATTCCAAGGAGAAAGAATCACACTGAACATTGAAGAATTCAATAATCAATGACAGACAGACAGATACAACGCAGAACTTCGTACGTAAGTATATCAGTTCGGGTTGCCATGCCCAATCAGCGCAGAGATGCAACTGTCAGTTCAAATCCAAGAGTCATAGCCATAGTAGAATTATTAGCAGTAATGGAGAAGATTAGGGAGCGAAGATATGATTCGAGAAGTATAATTCAGTGAGATAAATTTAGAAGGAGAAAGGTAGAGATTATGAGGAATGCAGATGCTTAGAATTTCATAGAACACAAAGAGTGGATGCATCTGCGCCATTGTAAATGATTCTGAGTCATGTCGTTCAAGGTCTTTAAGCATCGGCGACTATCGTCTCGCGGATCCCAACCAGGTAGCCTACATCTACCAACCTGACTCAGTCCACTTGTCAGTGACTTCATTGATTTCTGCCATGTTTTGGTTTTGCCACCCCTAACTTTCTTCCAATCTACTCCTACACTACAAAACATAGTTCGTCGCGGCAGTCGGTGGTTACGCATACGTAACACATGTCCCAACCACCTCAACTGATGAAGTTTCACTACTTCATCTATTAATTTGCCAACCCTACCTAGAACTCGTTTCCTAACGACAACATTGCTTACTCGGTCGTCCTAGGATACACGAGCAACGCTTCGGATACACCTATGATCGAAGACTAGTAACCTACGGAAGTCCTCTACTCTTAACGGCTAAGTCTCGCATCCGTACTAGTAGGACCGAGCGAACTGCTGAACAGTACACTCGTCCTTTAGTCAGCAAACGGATATCTCGCCTGCACCATATAAGTGACGCAGGTTGGCAAAAGCCAATCCAGCTTTCTGTATATATCCAAGCTGAGATTTCGTCAATCACCAGGCTGCATCAATCAATGAGTCACTCTGTTATAACAACATATAACAACAACAACAACATAATCGATCTTAGAACTTTTATATCACAAGAAAATTAATAAAAAAGAATGAATTATTATTCCACAAAACTGACTTACTTCAATCATTAAATGATCAAGACGTTCCATAACTAATTGATTATTTAATAAACGTTGTAATTTCTCTGATAAAATTTGTGCAAAACCTTTTGGATCATGTTCAGCCATACTATAAGATCGACTAGTTGATGATTTATTGGTTGGTTTTAATGGAACAGTTAGTCCGGTAGAATTCCCAGCAGTAACAGTAATACCATAATTATTATTACTAATATTATTATTAGTAGTATTGCTGTGTAGTTTAATTTTGTCATTGAAAGCACGAGAGCTAACACCACGTCTAGTTAGACGACGTTGATGTTTTTGTTGTTGTATTGAATGTTGAATGATTTTTTCACTAATGACTTGATTATTACTACTATTAGTAGTACAAGTATTAGTAGTAGTAGTAGTATTGATCGTAGAAACGATATTCATTGGACAATTTGTGGTAGTTGAAAAAATCTCCAGTGGATAATTCACATGATTACCACCAACAGCAGCGCTAGGGTTGACACCAATTGGACTTCGACAATACGGAATAGATTGTTGTAGATGACTTGGAAATAACGATGATGATGATGTTGCTGATGCCGCAGCAGAAGAGCATTTCGGTGATAAACATTGACCGGCTGTTGTTGTTAAATCACCAGCACCAGCACCAGCTACTTGTGGACTGGTAGATAAATGACGTTGATGATGATGATGGTGGTGGTGATGATGATGATGTTGAGGAGGATGATGCTGGGAGAGTTGATTTTGACGTTTGTTATTAATATTATTATTACTATTATTACTGTTATTATTATTATTATTATGAGAACGTGATAATTGAAATGGACTTGGATAACGATGATTCAAAGTACGTAAACGATTACAA